GCAGCTCCTGACACCACTGCACGTGGAAAAACAGCAAAAGAAAACTCAATGAGCAATGGAAAGATTAATTTGTCTTTAGTGCTATCGCCCTTGGTAACTGCCAGAATGGGATTTATCCCTGAGAGGTTTATTGTCTGATTAAGGTGAGCCTGATCACTGGGTCATGTATAACAGGGCAGCACTGCATAGTAGTGATTGGCACTGACACTGAAACTGACTCCAGTTTAAGTTTTACTTGAGGATGCTCTCTGGATTTAAGATTATTCTGCATTTGTTGAAACTATCTGACTGCTAGTTTAATGGTAGAGACTTTACAGGTAACTTTTTTGGGACACAGTGATTTTTTTATATAGTTCACCGACTTTGCAGATTTTGCAGTGAATAGAAACATGCAAAACTAAATTGTTCAAACTCCAAATATGTGCAGCAACATACAGATAGTTATATCTCTTCAAACAAAAAACTATTTTTTAGTCTTAAAGTAATTATTTTTTCAAAAGGTGCAACCAATTTTAAGTGATGAAGATTATTATCCTTATTAGCTGGAAACTGAGGGAAAATATAGTCACAAACAAATGGCCCTTTCCCATTTAAATATGGCCACCAAAAACACGTTTCTGTTCCTAAGTCCAAAAATTTTGCTAATTGAATTGCATATGCACTTGGACTAAAAAGAGGACAAACTGAGTTCTACAATGAGTTTAACGTCTCATGTACCCTGTCAAAAATTATCACAACCATTTGTAAATCCCTTTAATTAAAGAGAAATTAATTCTCTGCATTTAACCCATTCCCTTGGGGAGCAGTGGGCTGCCATTGTTTTGGGAGCTGTGTGTGGTTAAGGGTTTTGCTCAGGAACCCAGTGTGGAGGCTGTGGGGATCGAACCAGGTACTTGCAATCTTCTCAGAGCACAAGCAAGTTGCTCTAACCACTGGGCCAACACACCACATTTGACCATTTTCTAAATTTACCTCATATTCCATCTGCATTTTTCATACACCATATCAAATATTGCTGCTTTTAGCTGAAAAATGAAGTACTTTTTTCTGTGCGTTTGAGCAGCTCTATGGCCCATCGGATTCTGACACAGTCCAGCAACACCACTGCACTTGTTACCTCAGATTGCTATCAGATCTTTCTGCCTGTGCCTCAGTCTTGTTATCATTATTTTGTATGTATGAGAGGTGGGGGCAACTTCCCCCTCCCTTTTTCCTATGACCCCTTCAGAAGTCACACAGAGGGCCAGATCACAGCAAAACCAACATGTGGTTTGAGTTAGCATCTCTGAATTAAGCCTCGTACACATGAGCTTGTGTGCACATTCACAGTGCATGTTGGTGTGTCAGAACTGGTCAATTTATAGCTGCATTGTGAGAGCTAGTTGTGGTCTTTTGTGTAAAGTTTTACATGAGTGCACACTAGCTTCTCTGTGCTTGAGAGAAGAACTCTCTAGTGCCTGTGTGTTTGTGGTTCTGCTCTGGGCAAGGAACTAAGGGTGAGTTAAAAAGTTAACATACTGTTCTTGGAAATCCTTTCAAAAATGTGACACTGTAAAGGTGGTATTTTTATAGGCATTTATCCCATCTCATATGCATTCAACACATCTATTGGTAATAATTAATATATGCATGCATGCTGCAGTTCAGCAAGCTTGTATCCTGAATTTTCTCCTCTATGGTTTGGCTGGCAAGCAGTGCAGAAGCACAGTGATGGTTTCTGACTTTTATCAAAGTTTATCTCATTGGCATCTTAGGAAGCAGAACAGGAGGCATAGCAAACCAGCTCACTGGAGCTTTTTTCTTCTGTTCTGATTATTTAAACAGCCTATTGCTGCGTCACAACATCAGATCTTTTTCCAGCCCTATTTACTCACCCAAACAGAGTTCCTTGAAGTGGCCTCTGGGTTTCTCCAACCTTCAGCGATACGTATCTCCCCATTTATAAAATGATTGTCTGATTAGGCAATGCTTGTTCAATAAAAATTGGACTAAAAGCAGAACAAACATAGCAAAGCTTGAACTACTTTAATGGGGTAGCAAAAATGGGTCATGGTGCATCGACATGCTGAACTACATAAGAATACGATAAATTTGATCTGCAGTGAAAAAAGAGTTTAAAAAACATAATTGGTATGGTTTCCGTTTAATGAAGGATTCCTTAACTTTCATTCAGACACAAGTGTCTTGTTACTGTTAAGCTGAAAACCCCATTCTAATTTCTTTATGAATTTAGAAGACTTTTGCATTAAATACTCCCACAATTTACTAAGTGAGTTTGCATGGTTGTAAGATTTGTTAGATTTATAGCATGTTTTAGCAAATAGAGAACAAATATGTGGTTTATTTGATGCCAAATTTAGCAGAAGGAAAAATCAGAGATGAGGTCTTTTCAAATCAGATGTTATGAATGTATGTGTTTTATGAGATCAAGATCCAACTTGATCTCATAAATTTGACTTTTGAAAAAATCTAGAGATAAATCTTATAATCAAGATACAGATTTAGATTTTTTGTTCTTTTTAGAAAAATAATTACAAAAATTGTGTAAGATTTTCTCCAGTTTTGATGCATTTTTAAATGCTGCTAACCTCATACAATTTGTGCCACTGTATGTGGGTTCACTTATATGTTAATTAAAGATAAAGTTCCAATGTATCTAATTCCCATGTATAAAAATTGAAGAAATTATTTGATATCTTAGCTATATGTCATCTTCCCCTTCTTTGTCTTAGTTAAAAGCAAATCACCAGATAAAACATGAGCGTGGGCCAAAAAAGAATCTGAATGACAGGAAAGTATTTTATGATTAAATAATACTGTGGTAATTCTTTCTTTTTACACAATCTACGTAAGTTCATATTAGTACTCTAAAAAAATACTAAAATATACATAATTTTCTTTAAAAAATTATAACTTTTATGTTAGTTATGTCATAGTAGGAATATAAAAGTGTAATTGGATTAATAAAAAAGAACATAATGAAGGTCATTTTTGAACTGAAAACTTTGCAATAGTTGTTTTCATAAATAAATATGGAGCCCTTAGCAATAGCAATTCATATGTACTTTATGTATAATTTATACTGTACCTAGATTTGTGTTTTGTCTATAAGTCTTTTAAATATGTTTGCATACTTTGTGTTTTTTTTAACATAAATTTTGATTTATGATCAAATGTGTGGTACTTTTTGTAAAGAACAAAAACTTAAGCTCTGAATAAAAACTATCAAAAAAATGAAAGAAGGGAAAGGCCCATATAGAGCAGTATTCCTAAATTGATGCACAAATGTAAAGACCTTTGGACCCAAACAGTAACTGTAAAATGTGATAATCAATAAAAAATAAACACCAAACCATGTTTGAATTTAAAAAGTCAACACCCACCTCTGATCTAAAGTCCACAGAGCCCATAACTTTGCAAAACAAACTACTTGTAAAGTTTTTTGCTATGGGATTCCTGCAAGAAAAGCAATCTGCACCAGAAAATGTGGTCAGGGTATTGGGACCTGAACTTTGCCTTATTGGTTAACTGGCTTTCCCAGTGGGACCAATCTGTTTGTTGGTGCAGCAGTATATTTATCAACTCTCTGTGCCTCTCAGTGGCAGTGATATCCTGAGGATGTGGAGTCAGAGGCATGAATAGATGGCTGTATGGACAGACTGTTTATTTGCAAGCCTCTGAAGGTCGAAACATGGCAAAGAAGGCTGGCATTAGATGATATTCCCAGAGATTCTATGACCTGTTTCTTTCTGTCCGTCCACTATGATGTGTTTCATTTGCTGGACTTTATGTACGGAGTGGATGGTTTCAAACTTACTCATTTTCAAATGTCCTGGAAAACCAAAAGCTGTTTTGTCATATTTCTGCTTTACAGGTGGAAGATTGCTGTGATGTCCTACAAATCTTTTTCTTGCTGTCAATAACTTACATTTTACAAGGAAATCAAATAGCCTAAAGCTAAACAAAAGCCATCACAATCAACTTTAGACTGGCAGATGGACTCACATTTTATGAAAAATATTTGGGCATAAAGAGAAGATCATTTTCCTAGTTGGTGAAAACCCCCTAGATCCTGTGGTTGCAAAACGAGACAAAATAATAATACCTAAACTACTGAGCTTAACTAAACTACTGAGCTTAACAGGTGGTAAGAAGGGTATTTGTTTAACTGCTGTTTTTTGTTACTGTGACCAAAAATCTTTACTTAATATTTGCAATGCCAACTGAAAACAGAACAATTGTTTGTACTTCTTTCGAGTCAGCGTAGAAATGGTTTAATAGACAAGAGCAAATATAGGTGATCTCTTTCCCTGGCTCACACAAACCTCTATACATCAACACATGATTCATAATCGTACTTAGAGGCTGGCAAATTAATTTCTAGCAAAGTCTGGCTACTGTTTCTCCCCATAAATCCTCTGAAAGGATTGTTCTTAGTTTCTTTCATACAGCTTTGCTTTTTGATTCAGTCTTATTTGATCAAAATGAAATTTTCCAGTGTGTGTTTTTATACATTTGTCAGATTTTTTTATATTTTTCATACCTACCAAAGCCCAGATTATTTTTATTAAATTTCCATTCATGAAGTAACCTGGCATAAGCACGATTGATAGATGTAGTTCCATTCTGTTCCTACATGGTATCAATCTGGGAAGCCTACTATAGAAAGTTTTCGCAAAAGGGAAGAACATTAATCACAATTCTTCTAAATGATTGGTACCTGCCTCCCAAGTCGACCTTCAAGCTAATCTCAGCATCAGTAGCAAATGTGACACATTCCATTCCTGATTTATTTCACAACTAGTGGAGTTAACTGATGAATTAAACTTTTTTCCAAGATCCTCCCAGGAGGAACGTGCAAATATCTTTCCCTTCAACAAAGACAAAAACAGCATCCTATTCTCAGTGTTCAAGTTCTTCCTCAACATGCCTTTTGTTTATCCTGAAAAATTTGCAGCTGACACTTATCAGGTATTTTCTTTTTGTGTGTGTTTCTGCAGTTGGAAAACTTCATACAGAAGAGTTTAAGGCGAGATGCAGCTAACATACAGTCGCACGTTGTTAACAACCAAACAGCCGCAATGTTGGAAATTGGAACAAACCTCCTCTCACAGACAGCAGAGCAGACACGGAAACTCAATGTGGTTGAGGCCAAGGTAAGACGTTTTTCCCTTTAATTTGGTTTTAGTATCTTATAGTAAAATTCTTGGATTAGTCAAGATTCTCTTCTCTCACCAGGTCCTGAACCAAACATCTCGAATAGAGATCCAGCTTCTGGAGAATTCACTGTCCACCAACAAACTGGAAAAGGAGCTCTTACTACAGACCACGGAGATAAGGCAATTGCGAGATAAGAACAGGTAATACATGTTTTCCTCAGCTAAAATATTTATAAAATTTCTGCTTTACACTTTTATCTTGCTTAACGAGACAAATTAAAACAGGAATTGGGCCTAGATTTGAGAAACCAAAACTTACCATCAGTAAAGCCTCTGTGATGGACTAATTCACAGCTGAACTGTTTAAAACTTGAGGTAAAGTTCTTCTAATCAAGTCCTGCTAACTATCGAAAATTAACCTTAAACATCACTGAGAGAGAAAAAGGCCATCATCTCCATCAATAAGAAAGGTAAAAACCAAGAAATGAAGAACTACCCAGCCATCTGCTTGCTCTCCATCATCAAACATTTCCTCATGGAGATTAATAATCACAGCATCAAAAACACAGACGTTGGTTGTTGTCTGCTGTAAGAAAAGCTTGCATGATGGGAAGCAAAACATCTCCAAACTTGGACATCTAGTCCAGTGGATTTTTTTTTTTTTTTTTTTACTTTTTTTGGAATGACTGATCTGGAAAATCTTCACCAGCATATCTGCTGTAAGAAATTAATCCAAAAAAGGCTCCTTGTTTTCCTGACCTTTAATTCTGATGTTGAATCTGATGTTCTTAACAACACTGTGCAAAAATCATTCCGAGACCAAAGAGTGAGAATAATCTGACACAGCCAGGTTGTAGCCAATCTAAGGGAAAGCTCTTTTTTAGATGATGATGGGGATGCTAGAGATCTCTTATAGTATTTGCCTCACCCAAACCTATAGGCTCAATATTAAGGCAGACAATCAGGAAAGTTATTGCAACCAATGGTTAACTGCTGTATGTCCCTTTTAAATATTATGTGCCACCATTGATGGAAAAGGGGCTAAGGTTGGAGAAATTGTGTAATATTTATTTCAGTGTCCAGGTCCCTTCAATATGATATCTATGATTAGCCTCTTTACAAGGAGCAAGTACATATTTTCCATTCAACATTGTCTATCTTTCTCTTGGATCTTTCTTCTTTCTGGATCTTAGACCTGGATTATTGTCAAACAACATTTAAACAAAGTTGAGGCTCTGACCACTTTGATGTCTCCATCAGATAAAGTCATGGTATTCCAGATTGAATCTTTTTATGAGAACAAATTAATGACAATGGCATTCAAGGTCAAGAGAGGAAAAGAAAAAAAAAGAAAAAAGAAATTACAATATATTAAATTAAACTTATTTAGGCAAAGTCTGAAAAAGATTACAGACGGCATCTGACCTTGTTAGGCAGCCAAAGCAAAACACATTGTACAAGGAAAAATTCACCCATTCGGTGGCAAAGCAAAACAAGATGTTCTGTTGCTACAACTGATAATCTGAGAGTCTAATGCTGCATTAAGACATTTGGAAATAAATACAGAAATATAAAACATATCCTAAAGTGGGCATATTGTTCATCTGACAGAATAAGAAGCTGAGTCATAATGTAGAGAAAGTCAAGTAAACCCAAAGTGAAGGTGTTATTGGATGACTGAGCATCCCTACCCTACATGAGACTGGACAGAAGTGTGGTTAAATATTGGTTTTTAACTAAACCAAGTTTGAGATAAATGTTTAAAACTAAGAACTATTGCAAACATTATACCTATTCAAGTAAAGCCCTCTGCTGTTTTGACAGCAAATGTCTGCATTTTTGTGAAAATAACAATTCTCTAAAAGTTCTACTCTGTTTTATTTATGGGTCTCTACTGGCAGATATACTACAGTCTTTTCATTAATCCAACGTTGTTTAACAAGCTGTGTTTTGATTTTCAGTGAACAGGAACAGGACAAACAAAAAAGCTTGCTTTTACTGGACCACTGTCATTTATATGGTTGACCATAACTGAGAATTTAGGGGAAAAAAAAGAAAATACAAAATCTTTTTTACCAGCTATAAACATGTTTAACCCTGGTACAAACTTTGCGGTATACTGGTGAAGATTCTCAGTCATCCAGGTCATAGTCATTCCAAAAAAAGTAAAAAAAAAAAAAAAGAAAAAAAAAAAAAAAAACGCCTGGACATTGTTTTCCAAGTTTGAAGACATTTCGTTTCCCATCCAGGAAGATTTTTCAATTTAAAATGTCTGGATTAGAGTTGAGTTCCAGGCTTTATAGCATAGCCCAACAAAGCCTTGTTATGGCTTAGAATACATGCAAATATGCAGGGGACCAAAACATCTTGCCTGGTCAGCCAGGCCAACAATGACCCTTAGCACACCCTTTTCAGAAGCATAGCGCGGTAAAGGGTATTGCAGATCAACAACGACCTCAACAGCTCCCCATTACTAAGGGGTTGACCTGTTCTTTCAATTTCAATTTGCATGTTTTCTGGGCCATAACAAGGCTTAATCCAGACATTTTGAATTAAAAAGGTTCCAGGATGGGAAGCGAAACATTTTCAAACAAAACAAAGTCCAGTGGGTTTTTTTTTTTTTTTTTTTTTTACTTTTTTGGAAAAACTTTGTGGTGTTTTCTTTTTTTATTGTAGTTAGTTCTTCACACAAATTGCATGTCATATTTAGTTTAAGGTCAAAATGTGTCCTTTCTGCCTTATCTATATTATCATTTATCTATAATGGAACTTGTCCTGACCTTCATTTATTTTCAACCCCTTCTATGATCTAACTCTAAAGCTAAACCTAAATCTCACCTCACTCAAGGAACCTAACCCGTAGCACCCCCAACAAAGATAGGACAAAAAAAGTCCTCAGTTTACTGGTAAAATGTGAAAAATGTTTTATCACTCATTTACAAATATAAATACACCAACACATACACATTCAAAAGTAAAAAACAATATCAGCTACACAATCACAGCTGCTAACGTATAAGTCGGAATATTTGAAACCTAAGTAAGTTGGTGCAAAATGGTGGAAATTTGACCTCAGCTGTTGCTGAGAGACCCGCCAATATTTTGATTCACAATATTTTGAGTATATTTCATTATGGGATGAATTTTGACAATGCAATGAGTGGTGAGAGCCACTTGGTGATAATCAAGCGTGGTCTCTGTTTACAGTAATCGATATTACATAAACAGAAAGGATTTGAGAAAACAGTACTCTTAAAGTATGCAAGAGATTTCCTTTAGGTGATGCAACCTTGTATGCCCTGAAAATGCAGAAACAAAGCCTGACAGCAACATTTTAGTGGATGACATCAGAGCTACCACTGTTTTAGCATCACTGCTTCTTTGAATCAAGGATTAAGCTGAATAAACTGCTGATAGGACAAGAAAATATCCCATCTAATAAATCATATTTTCAGCATAACAAATTACCTCAGATTTAACAAGAAATTGACTCTTAGCCTGTTAATACTTGTGCTTCATACTGATTTTAGCAAGAAAGGAATACGGCATTCCCAGTTTTTGTTTTTGTTTGACTTAATTTCCACCATTATTCATCGGGACATGTACTATTTGCACAATTTGTCAAAGAAAATGTTTGTCTTTTGTTTTATCGAGGGAGATTACTCAAGGTAAAAGTCAAGAGCTCATAGATTTTAAATTATTAAATTTGTTTTCTTAATTAACAAGCTAAATGGTTTATAAATATTTGCATAATATAGATTGGATTAAACAAGCAACATTATCATTATAACACAAAAAGAAAATGTAAACCTAAAATGAGATTTATTTTCTTAACATGAGATAAAGATAGAAACTGCTATAAAGATGAAAAAAACATGATAATCAAATAGCAAACCTAGTGTCTCTAAGCTCGGTCATCTTTCTGTTTTAATTATCCAATGCACTGCCTTTTCTGGCTTTACTTTACATATATTTTATTTCATTTTCTTCAAAAAATAAATCAGCAAATCAGTGAGTAAAGGATATTTGCTTTGTGTTTTATTTAAGTTTTTTATTATAGTTTTGATAAATGTGTTTGTGCACATGCTTTTAATGACGATCGTATTACAAGAGACAGTTTGTGCACATCAATTTACACCAGGTGTGAAAATGGGTCCAGACTGAGCAAATGTGTTTGAGTCTTACTTCATTACATAAATAAACACGTTCACTTCCAAACTCACATGCAGCTGTGGACAAATGGAAAGGACATCCTGTAGGTCTGCTCGAATTTCTGCAACATCCCAGGTTATGCTCCGTGACCTTAACCCTGGAACAGATCGTAAAATAACATACGAGAGACTTTTGTCAAAATACAGCAATCAACATGACACAGGCAGATCTGAAAGCATGGATGTGATAGAAGTGAAACACAATCTTTTATTTAGTGTGAAAAATTATGTTAGCATAACTCAAAAGTGGACTGTCAAGGATGAAGTTTTTAGTGCTGGACCCAGAAATACAGACAGACAAGTTAAAGATACAGGGTAGGACAAAGGAAAGTCAGGTGCACATTTCACAATCCAAAGAAAGTGCACATTATTTAGGAAAAAAAATCCCTTTATTGTCCCACAATTACTTAATGCATATTGAAATGCATGCTGTTGCTTAAAGCACTTAAAGCATACTTTTAGAGATTCAAAGCCCCAAAACTGCAGTGTTAACACAAGGTCTCACGGAAATGTGTTGTTTGTTGTTTTTAAGAAGAATTTATTCTATATAAAGAAAGAGATTCAACTTACCAAGCAATTTTCTGCCGGGTTTAAATCATGTGAATTGTCTTCAACCCACACTGAGACAAGTTGATGTGTTTTAAGTTTTAATTTTGTTTTCCATTTTAAACATTTTTTAGTATTTTACATTGTTTAAGAAAACTAGTTGGACGAGAGAAATAAAATGCATGGTGTCTTAGAGTTTTTGTACTTCATAAAGCATTATATATGTTCAGGCCATTTTATCTATCCATTAATTTGCCCAAACCATATTCCTGGACAACATGTTATCATGAAAGACCATACTGTACCTCTAAGAAGGTTATGGTGTGTCTGTTATCTTGGAATCTAATGACATAATTAGCTTTTGCTTGTTCAAATTAAGTCAAAATGTCTCTTTTAAATATTTTAAATGTCATGCAAAGACTTTTTTGCCTAACCTACAGTTCTTATATTTAAATCTTTTTTTCCACACTGTAAATATGCATTCATGCCCACACATCTTATATGTTCCCCACTAACCACTGTGCCAGAATGGTCCTTGGCTCTCCATCTGTCTCCATCAGCGACAAGAATGTTTCCACGTTCACATGTAGGTCAGCATGTTGAAGTGATCACAGCCAGGAGCTGATCCTGGGTTACAGCTCTATTAATGGCACCAATGTCTCACCTGCTCATGTAAGATAATACCACTGCAATGCATAAATGAACAACATTGCAGATGCTGATGGAACATTTTATTGAAATTTTCCAGATGTTAACTTTCTTCTCTAGCGTTAACACCAGGGCTGCTCATTTAGATTAGCTCCAAACCCCAAACCATCATAAATTAACATAATATGATTACTTTTTACAAATGAAATAGAAGAAATGGTATTTTCATACCATTAAACTCGTATTTTTGTCATTTTTATGAAGAATTCAAAGAAATTCCATATTTAAAGTAGGTGGAAGTATTTTAGCTGTTGTCAGATGGATTCTTGTTAAATGTAGCATAGATGCTAAATATCTCCTCTTATTCTGTGTTTGTTTCACTAAACATGTATTTTGCTACAAATTAAAAGAGATTTTCTTCCAATAATGTTGATTAAAAAGTTAATTTCATACTTTAAGAGAATATTTTTCTATAGAGCGGCAAGAGCCGTTAGGTGTTATAACGAAAAGGTAATTTGCATATTTATGCTTTTGATCCATTTCACTGGATCAGAATTTCTCCAAAAATTACCCAGTTAACAAATATTAGTGATTGATCTATTGAGATAGAAAATCAATGCATTAAAAACTGTTGGTAAAAACGGAGGATATGAATGAACCTTAAAAACATTAGAACATGAAACATGTTGGATCTGTTCTCTTTTTGATACTTCACCACTGTCACACATTCCCTCCTTTTCCAGATATTCCTGTTGTTGCTCTAACCTTAGTCTGCAGTCGTCTTTCAACAGCTGCACTGGCAGCTACATAGCAGAGATAACAAGACCTGGGGTCTGAGATGGCAGAATAAATCACGGTCACAGAATTAATCTTCATTTCACTATTTAAGTGTCTTTAACGACTGGGAGTAATTTAGCCTTTACAAAGTTTGCTTCATCTCACTCAGAATTAGAGTTCAAGTAGTGGGAATTTGAGTTCTCCCTCTGCATCACTTTTATTTTAAAACTAATTTTTGGTGTGAACAGACCACCAATCTGCATTTCTTTAAAACGTTTTATCCTCCACTCGCAATTTATATTGGATCTAAATGTGGACATGAAGCAATATTGCAAAATAGTTAGTTTCATTCTTTTAACTTCAGAGCATTCAGCTTGAGTGGTTTGGTATATAGAAGAACTGACATCAATCTTAAGAAATAATCAATGACAGAGGAAGGTGATATTTTTCTAGGATAGAGCTTTTTTATGCTGTTATTCTCTAATTCCTACAAGTATTTTGTAAGAGCTCAAAAAACTGTTATCAATGCAATTAAAAAAACTGGGAAAAAATTATTATCTCATATCCAGTATGCATAGCAGAAAGTTGGTGAATTGTTTTGGGTGAAGGTATCTTCTGTCTGACTTCTTTTCTATGTTTCTTTCAGCCATTTGGAAAGCAAAGTTCAGTTGCTTGAGTCTCAGCAGAGAGGAGAGCTTGAGGACATGAGACTAGAGAAGAACCGACTGCAGGTACAGTTAATGAGCGGAACATCTGTGTGTTATTAGACTAAAGAAACAACATTTGCTCTGGACTGTTTAGACAGGTGTCTGAGAATGTATTATAATTTAAATTAATCATGAAACGTTTCTCAGATGTGTATACCAACTATATTTTAACAGAGGCATAGATATCAAGTCCTCCGGCCATGTTTTATGTGCGAAAGTTTAAACACACACAATAAAACTAATGTCAAGCACAAAATTGTTAAGAACCAGTTTGATTTCTGTCAGAAAAGTTATGATTTTATTTCAGCATATTATCTAATGTTTAAACCAAAATGTTTAAATTGTATTCATAATATCTTAATACAGACATGAATTAAACAGCGATGAACCTTTTGTTTTTCAGTCTGTGATCAGGACTCAGATGGTGGCTATAGAGTCTCTAGAAAGGCAGCTGAGAGTCGCCACCAGCAACAACTCTGCCCTGCAGAAGCAGCAGGCCCAGCTGATGGAGTCGGTACACACCCTCATCGACATGGTGGCCACGACTACAGGTATGTACACAAACATTAGGAGAGGTATTGTGGAATGAAATCTTATTGTTTCAAATTTTATTGGCATGTGCTTTGCTTTCAGGGTCGCCTCCTCGGAGCCAGGTGTGGAAGGACTGTGCAGATGCCTACAAGGCTGGTCATTCTGCCAGTGGTCTTTACCACATTTATGTCGGTAACAACACAGACCCTGTTCAGGTAATTACCTTATGACTTCTCCAGAGTGCACACTCAAACTACCTGACCAAGGAAGTTATAATATCTGATAGTCAGTAGTAGTCACAAAAGGTCTAAGAAGTTTGCAGCATAGAAAGGGTGGAATAGTGGAGTAATCTGAAGGAAGGGCTAAGATCCATCACTGTTGGCAGGTTCTGCTACACCCCCTTATAAAAAAGGTGTGTGATTTATTTTTACTACTGTTTAAGACATTATATTTTTTGTCTGTCACTGAGACAAAATAAAGGTGAGGGTGTTCAGTTTTCTCTGATTTTCACTATATTTAAATAGCACATTTTACTCATTAAAATTTACAGCTTATTTTCAGTTTTTAATGCTGTGTGATTTTGACTTAATGAGCCAGTTTCAGTTTATTTCCCAATTTGCTGACATTAAATCCAACATTTGTGTCAAATATTCCACATTTCTCCTTCTGAAGGTGTACTGTGACATGGAGACGAGTGGCGGGGGCTGGACAGTCTTCCAGCGGCGCTTCAACGGCAGTGTGGATTTCCAGAGGAGCTGGAAGGAGTACAAAATGGTCAGACTGCTTCACAATGACAGCGATTAAAATAACAATGACGTTTAATCAATAAAGCAACAGTTCACCTCACATCTTGTCCTCCTCAACTATCACAGGGTTTTGGAGACCTGTCGGGGGAGCATTGGTTGGGCAATGAAGTTTTACACCTGCTGACCAGTCAGGGTCAGTACTCTCTGAGAGTGGAGCTGCAGGACTGGGAGGGAGTCTCTGCTCACTACCAGTATGACCGGTTTACACTGACCAGTGAAAGACAGCAGTACAGGTAAGACACATAAACGAGACACTTCACTGAAAAAGGAGTTGTTTAGATAAAAGGACAAGATGTGTCTGGAGCATTATAGAAATCTTCTTAAAGGTATTGTGGAGGATTTTGTTTTAGAGGGTTGGATCATCAAAATAAGTGGTCCTCCTAATTGCCAATCATTCTGGTGATATGCATACGTAGGGCCAGCCTACATGCCTGTCTCCATTTTCAATTACTGGTGGTGAGTCTGACACGGGGGAACATTTGCAAATCTTCTTTTGGAAAGGAAGTTTGTATGAGCGATGCTAACAGCAACTTTTAAACAGAACGTGCACAAGGAGAAATTGGCAAATTCATGCTCTTGGACGCATTTTATAGGCGTTCCCTCTTGGGAGCGGGAACAGGGTTGTGCATGTGCATTTTTTTTAAGTGGAGAGGGTCGGTCTTTTGAAAAAATTGCAAAAATCCTCCACTATTCCTTTCGTTTTATGCTTAAATTTAGATTTAATATCTTCACTAAGGCCTGCTATATTTACTCAATTAGTACTTATTTGTAATGTCCTGTGAACGTATATCTGCTCGAGAGTCTGTGAATTTACAATTTGAATGAGAAGTTAAAGTCCCAGCAAAACTTAAGTCATGATTAAGTTCTGTACACCTGCTGATTAGAAGATTTTATTTATAAAATACCAATATATAATAAAGAAAAATCACCTTTTAATTATTCAACGATTTCAAAGTGTTGACATATTTTGATATTTGTGGGGATTTATTTATTTATTTATTTATTTATTTATTTATTTATTTATTTATTTATCTTTTTGCTCCGTAATCACTCTGGAAAGTCCTTCTTTTTACAATAGTTGCATATTCAGTAATAAATAAAGAAAAGATAATCATGTATGACAAATACAAACGTTTATCTTTATACAACAAAGTACCTAAAGGCTCTTTTTGATTCTGCTTCTCCATATCAAAAGCTTTAAACTTCTCAGTAGGTAAATTTCAACTCTTGACTTTGTATCACTGATGGGTTTGCATGTCAAGGAAAATTAGAGGTTAACTGCTGGAGGTCATTGGAATGACTGTTTGACTTTCTTGTCCAAAGTGTCTCAAGACAGATCAGGCAGAAATTGATCAAAATCCTAAATGAATGTACAGTAGCCTGTCACCTACCAATGCATGTGAGATTCATTGCTGTATCAGGTGCACACAGATTTGTATTAACTAGAATGACAAAGAATGAAGGTAGGTTTCATCTCAAACCTGTTAAAATAAAATCCGCATTTTGGTAGCTTTGACCTAACCTTACATTATATAAGAAAGCAGTGAAGAACTCTTGTTGAAAGAAGATGGAGGAAATGGTTTATTTTCCTGCTGGCCAAATAAAGGTAAATGCCTCCTCATCAGTCTCAATTGAATAAAAATAACTCAGACGGCTGCAGTTCGTCCAAAGTGCTGCTGTCATGCTATTCACTAACACCGCTGAGGTGGAGCACATTCCATCGCTTCTTAAATCACTACAACGGCTCCCCCTGTGTCAAAGGGTAGATTTTAAATTCCAATTACTTCTGTAAAAAGCACTCAATGGCCTCAGGCCTGAATATATCTCTGATTGTCTTGAAGATTACAAAACATTGCGATCCCCCCGATTGTTTTTGACAGGTTTAGTGAGTGCTGATAGAATCAAACTCAGTTTTAAATCCTCTGTACCTGTGGAACAATTCAAAAAAAGAGAGCAGTTCAAGTTTTTGTATTTTATATTTACATATTCAATTTTAAGGGTGTCTACCTGGGGTGCTTATTTTTCATCTGACCCAAATGTTTTTCATTTCTGACTGTATCCTACATGTGCACTCTGAGCCAGATGTCTCTTAAAAATGTCATTTTTGTCTCATAATGATAAAAAAAATCCTCATGATTCCTAAAAGTGGAAAAAAAAAAACATTGAGGCCAGAACAACCGCAGATCAGATGTTGCAGTCCTGTTCATGTTTAGTTCAAAGTCTTTTTTTTTTCTCTAGTTAAGCTGTCTAACTGTGATTGATTAATAGTTAGTCATTAAGGCAAGGAAAAGGTTCCTAGAGTCAATGTATGAACAAGTCTTATGCCTACAACTTCTATAAAACATAGATAGGTGATACATAAGCATAAAATATTTATCCAGAGGAAAGGCAGAAGTTTCATTAGAAATGTAATTATTGGTTAGTTATTTATCTGCTTAGTTAATAAGGTATAGTGATACAATTTTTTGTCCTGTAGCGCCCCCTCTGAGCCTCTTTCTGTAACTTCTATCCCTTTGGTCAAACTATACCTATACCAATAAGTTTGAGGTTAGATGCAATGACTGGGCAGAAAAGAAGTGTAAAAAAAAATCAAAGTCCAATTAAAATAGTTTACATAAGTATAACACTATAAAGTATAGTTTACTACTGTATACTTTATAGTGTTACAAACTATCTGGCTTATTGATTCTAAGATAAAAAGAAAACATATTTTGATAGTCACTTTTTTCACAGTTCTGTGAGAAAAAAAAGCATTAAAAACATGAAATTTGGAAATGATTAACCTTCTTTAACATATTCTGTTCATGATTTTCTCTTTCTGCCCTCAGGTTGTATCTGAGAGGTTACAGCGGTACAGAGGGAAGGCAGAGCAGCCTGATCACCCACGGGGCCGGCTTCAGCACCAGAGATCAAGATAATGACAACTGCGATCACTGCAAATGTGCCTTGATGCTAACTGGAGGTTTGTTTTTTTTTGGCTTTTTTTGTAGAGTCAACAGTTTCAGTCAGTTCTTACTCTTTATTAGAAAAATTATCTTATCGAAAGATAAGCTGCCAGCAAATCAATGAACTTGTAATGTTGATATTTCTTGGGGCAGATTGCTATAGATATAATTTTATTACATATTAAAACCAGTGTTTCTCTATTATAAATGACCGTGAAACGATAATTTAGCTAGTAAGCACATTTGACTGCTTGAAGAGAATTATTGGTAGGTTGCTAGAAGGTTTGGTCAGTCAAACATCTGTCTCTGTCCTCTGTCACGACACTTTCACCTTGAGCCACCGCCAACATAAACAGCTCTTTGGTTCTCCTCAGCCTCCCCTCCATGGCTTGTAATCGCAGATTAACTTAATCGTTTTGGCCAAAATCCCTGAGATCTCAAAGGAAAAGACTCCAGCAGCGACCATTAGTCGTAGAGTCTTTTCAAATCACAGCAAATTTAGCGAGAAAGACAAAGTAAAATAAGAAACAGCGGCTGAGATGGAAAGAGCAGAGAAAGAAAAAGAAAAAAAGACAAACACAGCTCCATCATGTGTCCCTCTAGGCAAAAAATACATTTGCGCCCAATTTGAAAATAATGAGTGCTAAAAAAAACCAACATGTTGTTTGTAAGAATTTCAGTGTAATTTCAGACACGTGTCACAAGGCAAAGTGAAAGGCTCTATATGAATCAGTCACATTTGACAGATCTTTCTAAAGGCTCCCATTAACTTCTAATGTTCATGTTGATTTGTTTTTGTTAGCAGAGTAGCGCCAGACATCATTACAAGTTTGAAGAATGCATTTAAAAGAATCAGATATCAACAATCAAACATTAAAACTCTCCTTTTCTGTTAGGTTGAACACCCATACTTCTCTATTTTACATATGAAAGTCTATTTAATTCTATGTTGAAGCATACTCTTGTCTTTGTGCAGGACTTTTGTAAACACTGAGCTTTAAAAGCAGAGGGAGACGAATTGTGGCTTTAGGGAAGGACTGTGTTTGATTCCAGCATCAGAAACTTGTGTTGGCTGGTTGCTTTTAAACTTAACTACAGACCTTCTGTTGTAGATTTAAATGGTGTTTATGTAGTTGTTTGAACTTGACCATGCTTGTTAGCTGTGAATCTAACACAGAAAGCAACAAATTTGGTTATAAAGATGTGTTTTTTGTTAAACAATCAGTTTTAAATAGCCTGGGGTTTCGAAACTGTGTGAATCCATCCATCTTCTACCACTCAGGGATCACATTGCAAACAAAGAATGACAGAAAAATTGGATTATTACAAGAATGGAGACAGGTTAAGGTCTCCCTTACACACTGATTCCAGATTGTATTAAAGCACACACAAAAAAGAAAGTTCAGAGCCATAATTAGAGTATCCAATTCAATAAAACTTTTAGATGTAGGCATTTATTAAACATGAGCCAGAAAAAAAAAAGGTTTTATTGGGCCCTTAAAGAGAAAATAGTTGGGGCCCCCAAGAAGCAGGTATTAATGCCATGGGCATGCTGAGGATTTAATCGCTCACATTCATGTTAATGGAGCGTTGCAACTCCTGAGCTGCTCTCTAACCTAGAATTAACATGAAGACAGCCATGTAGGCCCCTGCAAGTATTCCAAACCATGATTATGTTAGGGCTGCAGCAACAGCCTGCATGTTGTATTTGGCCCAACCGCTGCACACCGGCAGAAAGATTCAAGTGCTTACACAAACGTTTCGACAGAAGGAACCTAAATGGACAGCATGAAGTTTGTATCTAATAAAACACTAGTTACATTTTGATCCCCCCCAGTCTTGGGCCTTTGTCGTTGCGCCACACTGTGAAATAGAAATTGTCATGGCTCAGAGAAGAGGACCCAGTATTCAAGGCAAGACAGTGGGATTACTCAGAAAGCGTTTATTTAAGCACATGTCTGTGAAAACTAGCTGCTAGGGTGTCTAAGGCAGGAACCTTTGGTTTTATAGTTCAGTCCGTACCCAGAGAACGGGGTTGATTCCAGCTAGATACAGTGGTTGCCACACAGAGACTTCCAGACGCTGAAGCCTTGAAGACAACAGAACTGGCAGGAGATCAGATCCAAGCAGATGAAGAAAGGCAGGACAATCCAGAGGGCAAAGTCAAAGCCAGTGTGGAGGTAGTGCTCAGGATTTAGAACCAGAAGATCAGAGGTCTGAAGAGTTTCTGAAGGGGCATTTGGGTCGGTGACAGGAATCAGTTCCAGGTTAGGTTAAAGGCAGAACAGGTCAAGATCAGGCAATTGGAACACAATCAGGTATGAGAACTCTCACCAAAGGCTTGAGAATAATCTGGCTCTTATGACTGGGAGCAGGCAGGTTAAATAGAGACTGGAGCAGGCAACACAGATGAACAGTAATGAGAAACTGGGTGGAGCTAGACAGGTGAATGGAATGTGTTATCAAGCCAGTCATTGGTGCCAAAATCATGACAATAAATGGCTCTTCTTTACTTATTACCTATTTTCAGGAGTTAGTGGTAGATTAATGGTTCTGGAAAGCAAAATAGTCACCCCTCTCATTATCTCTCCTTCCTTTGTTTCCCAATCATAACTAGTCTTTCTCCTTGTTGTGCTATTCCTCCATCTAGGTTGGTGGTTTGACGCTTGTGGTTTCTCCAACCTAAACGGCATCTACTATACAGTTGGCCACAACATTCGGAAGCTCAACGGCATTAAGTGGCACCACTTCAGAGGCCCCAGCTACTCCCTGCGTTCCACTTTAATGATGGTCCGACCCTACGACTTCTAAGAAGACCCCTCCACATTTTAGACATCTGAATGTTGGCAATGATCTGAAGCATAGGTCTGGATTCTGTGTTCCTCGTAACAATGCGCCTTACCTTCTGCTCCATGGTCCAGCCATGGTGCATCCTCTGGATCTGACATGGTACAGTCCTTTATTCATGACCAATAACTGATCCACCTTTGAAGCCTTGAAGACTAAAGAACTTTACACTTACAAGCACCACTCCGATGAAAGATAAAACAATATAAAAAAGCAAGTTCATTATTTAAATTCATATTTTAGATGTTTCTATAGTAGAACATAACTGCACTGCACATTGCCTTTGAAGCCACATGTTGACATAGTTGTTTATGTACATTCCCAAAGACATGAGTTGTGATAAAACATGCTGTTTGAGTAAAACAAATACAAATGTGTGCCAGCCCCTCGAAACTAATGTGGGTCAAATGGATCAGCCTGCTAGCTGGATTTTAGATTTAAAGAAAAGATCTTAATACTTTCCTTCCACACATGGTTACCACATGTGAAAGGTTTGGATGAAGTCAGGGTAGCATGTTTAACCATCATCGTTCCTTATTTCAAGGTTTAAAGCAAAACTTCATATATGCAAATAATGCACCTTATTAATTTGATCACAATTATTCCTCACTCTTCTTATCAAGCAAACCAGACATAGCATTGTCTCTTTTAACACTTTTGATGACGTTTAGATGATGGAAAAAAAGGTGTTAACCAAATGAGTTTTGGTCAAAACGTAAGGAAAACTGTTTTTTGTTTGTTTTTTTAGTTGTTGTTTTTTTTATGTGGTCCAACATCATGTTCACTAAAAAGTATGAAAAAGTGGAATATCATCAAAAACTAATTTATTTTGGTAATTTAAGTAAAAAAGAGTGAAACCCATGTATTATTTATGCTTATGTCTAATGATTAGATTCTGATTAAACTGATTAGATTCTGATTAAGGCTTACAGCTAAGGAAAGACCAAATTTAAATCATTAAAAAAAAAAAAGACCAAATGACATACATCCATGGATTGTAGATTACATGGCAACTATGCATGGATTGCTGCAACAGTGGTATCTCTGATTGGCTGGTAATCAACTGGTCAGGGTAACCAGATGATTTCTTGGTGCAGCCCTGGTTATCTGTTATTGTTGTATTTGGAAGTTTTTTTTTTTGTTTTCTCCTTGCTATCTTCCTTTTTTTTAATTTTATCTAAACTGATTTAAATGTTTTAAGCAAAATTTGGCCCTGTTTGTCCTTTACACACATCCAAATTGAAAGGATCAATGTTTTATTTAGCAAAGTTCTTCCAAAATTATGCAGTAAAAACAAGTAAACAAGTAAAAATGGGATACAACAACAACATAAATGGGAAAAGGTGTAAAACATGGAAATTGATAGAGCAAAGATGATTGTCTCAAGGATTTTAGGATGGCAGTAACAGATATTAGTCTGATGCAGACAATTAACATGGTATCTGTCATGTACCTATGTTGCAATTCGAAGCTGTAAAAAACATGAGTGACTGCAGGTTCTCTATGGAGTTTGTCATTTGCTCATCAGCTGCAGTGAAGCCAAAGAAGTATTGGTGTTTTTGGCAATGGGGCCATGGACCAAATTCCACAAGAAAATGTAATCAACATCTAACTTTAGGCAGACATACAGTCCTCTAAACGTTTGTGGTAGATGCCTGGTCTGACTTTAGACTTATTGAAGCACAAAGGATTCGAGATCAGTAAATGAAATGATTTCACACATGGATTCTCTTTTTTTCTGCAGACGATGTGACATTGGTTTTCAAATTAAATTAAATTGTTACTTGTATCTCAGTGAGATACTTTGAACCATTGAGCAACAGTTTGGCCCTTCCTTATCTCATTTATTTAATGTGATTCAGACATCTGTGGGTCAATCAATCAATATGATAGTTATCCTCCAGCATATGTCTTTATGTGGAATAATATCTTTTGAATACTCAAACTTTAGAATTGCCCTTTAATCCTTTCTCTTCTACTTAACTTTCTATTAATGGTTGGAAAATGGACTCTGCTAACAGCCAGCTTCTTCAGCCTCCTTAGCATGACAGGGAAGACTATAAAAATGATATAATGCAACATTTCTGTATTTAAAATTTGTGTTTTCATTAGCTCTAAGCCATAATCTTGAAATTAATACTATCAGTGTTTTACTTGGATATTTATGATATATGAGGTTCACTTTTAATTGGAATAGTCAAATTTCTTTACTGAAATGCTCCTCTACTTCCAAAAAGATGATTTTTTTTTAGGAAAAAAATAGCTGACAAAATGATGTTGTATGTATATATATATATATATATATATACACTTTTTTTTTTCTTTACTTTATTCAGATTTAATCAAGGACGGAATATTTATGAAATCAAAGAACCACAAGTTGGAAAGTTCGAAAAGAAAAAAAGACTGACCGAAAAAAAGAGAATAATCGGCAGCCTGAATGAAGCTTCTCTAAAAAAAACACAGCGTGTACATTGAGCCAAGGCTTTGGATTCAGATTTTGTTTCAGACACTCAAAGTACACAATTCTGGCACCAAAGAGTTTGAAAAAAAAAAATGTGCGAAGAGGATAACAAGGAGACTTGAAGTAAAACACAGCTTAACACAACTGGAACAAGAAGAGGACAAGATAATGTGGGGAAAAGAAATGCTTAAATGGATGGAGTGGATTCGATGCCAGAGCATCAGGAGACTGTAATGGATAATCATCCAGCAAAAGGAAGTGATTCCTCTCCAACGTCTTCAATCTGTGATCTGGTTTCTTTCAGAAGGCGGCTGGCTCTGACTGCTCTGGAAACAGGGCCAAATGAAAATGTGCAGCAGGACTAAACAAGGAGTGTGTTGTTGTTGTACATCAAAATCAAGCATTGTTGAGAGTTCCCTTTGAGATGCAAAAAACAGACTAATGGACAAATATTAGTGTGTCTCAAATTCTGATTGTGGTGTATAGTTTGTGAACAGAAAATGACTTACTGACACATTGTAAATACAAATGGAAACTGACCAGTAATTGAAGGGCGGGTTGATGTAAGTCTAGCAGCTGTAAAGATGCTGAGTATCACAGTTTTCACTATTGTTCAGGAACTATAAGCACGCAAACTATTTTTTATGCAATTATAAAGTAATATGATAACACTTACTGGACACTGATAAAAGGAAAGTGAACAAAATAATCAAGAAATAAACAAATCATTTGTATTAGCACATGCAAGCCAAATCCAAAGTACTCGTTCTTCTTTTGTTTTATGTTGGGTAAAGATTCTGGACCATGAAATGAGAAAAGAACAAACAAAATACAGATGTTGGGATTGATTGAGTCCAGATCTTCAAGCAAATTAATGTGGTTTTGATTATTTTCCTTATCCGAACGATGTGGGCATTTTCTATTTTTTCTTTCTATTTTTTTTTTTTCTGTTGTTGAAAAGTGCATTTTATTATGGTTAGTGAATTAATAATCTCCTGGCACTCATTCAGAAATAAATCAGTTTAAGAACATTTGTTATTCTATTCAGTGCATTGGTTTCCTTAATTCTTCATTTGAAATAATCTAAGACACACTGAATTACATTGTATTACATGCTTCCATTTATGATTAAAAAAGGGAAGTAAATATGATATTGGAATCATTCTGTGTCTCCTTTGGTTCACATTTCAGATACCAGGTAATGCTTCTCAGTTCTGTTCAATAAGTCCAGATCGGTTTTAGTGTGTTGTGGTTTATTCATAGAATAGAATAGAATAGAATAGAATAGAATAGAATAGAATAGAATAGAATAGAATAGAATAGAATAGAATAGAATTTAACTTTATTGTCATTACATTGTCACAAGTACAAAGAAATGAAATGTAATTTGCATCTATCCAGAAGTGCTATAGAGGATATAAATATTTATTTACACTTGCACAGAGACCATGAATGTATTGACTATAAATAGTATAAATATATATATATAAAAGCAGAGAATAATTGCAAGAAGCTATAAAACAAAAAAATATGAAAAACTAAATAAAGAGTATACAGGCAATTTTCGTCATATGATGAAAGATTAATTTGAATCAAAAAGACCTTCAGACTGAGACAGAACAGACAGAAAATAGAAATTAGGGCAGAAAAAAAATAATGTTGCCTGCATTACAGAAAAAAAAAATAGTGGCAACAATTAAATTTTCAGTAGCAAATAACACATACTGTGTGTTGTAATAAAGGAATGTAAAGGCGTAAGAAAAGTCTTAAAAGCTCAAGATTTGCTGAAGATGTTCTTGAACCACAATTAAATCTTGAACCTGATAGTGAAGAGCTGATGATCTGTCAGTTTGGTTGTGTTGAAGCAGGGATGTAGCTAAGCTGCAGAACAGTAGTGACAGTAGTAATTGTCAATAAACGTGAGCATCAAGTCCATAGATATAAAACTCAGGTATATCTGAGTTTGGAAGCATAAACACCAGGATTTAATACATTCAAGATGCTATAATTACTTTCATAAACAGACTAATGTTAAGATCATTGTAACCTGTGCAAGCCTAATACTGTTTCTTTTATCTCAATGAGAAAATTGAAGACAAGAGCAGGGACACGTTTACTGTGCAGACCTCTGCAACTGAACTTGACATTTTTATTACTTCTTCTTTATTTTTTTGAGCGAACTAGATTCATGCACAAATACTTGAAATGACATTACATTATGGCTTTTTTTTGCATTAAGATATACACTGGGATATAACTGGCAAAGTCAAGACTAATACAGCTTTACAACATTTCAGGTCAGCGATTAACCTGATTATGTATGTACTAGTTTTGGTGAAAGAAAAAATGAATTAGGTTACTGTGGTTAAAAAAAGCTGAAGAAATTAAACAACCTGATATTTTAGATGACAATATCGTTACTTTTCTTTCTCGTTCAGCAGCTGCTCCATGATTTATTATTTTGATTTGTTATTAAAGAGAAAACCCAGCAGTTTTTTCATTGCTACTGAGTAAAAACTCTTACATGGAGTACTTAGTCTGGTTCAGGTATATTAGCCTTAAGATAAAGTTGCTGTTTATTTAAACTGGACAAAAAGTGATGCCAGAAACCAAGCATTCTGTCCTATGATATAATGTCTCTGACAAAACTCCTGGTTCTTCACAAACATTAATTAAATTGCACTTTCTATTGCAAAGTGAGCAGTTTTAGAAAACAAAATATTATTTCCAAAGTGTCTATAAAGACATTTATTAGTACAGCTGCAGAAAAAATGAGCCAAAAAAAATTCATTCTCAGGCCTTCTTGTTTTAGAATCCTCAGTTTGTGCATGTTAGTGTCTCTTCCACATGTTCCCAAGCCCCCCACATCCTCGCTCACATGTTTTTAATGAATGCTTCAAGAGATTTGGATGTGGTGCTGCTTCTGATTCCCAGTGGTGAGACATAACAATCCAACTCCCCACCTCCCACGACCACAAAAATAACATGGTTGAGAAAAAGAAATCAATTTCTATTTCATATACCATTATAAACACATGTCTTTAAACTGCTAAGAGGACATTACAAAACCCAAGGTAAATCCAAGGTATTGATGTTTTGTAAAAGACTGATTGACATCAGTTAGAATAATGGGTATTCCAACAAAAGGCATGTGCTAAAAAAGCTCTGGGGAAAATTATGAACCATTGAAACTATTAAAAGTTACATAATTTTCATACTTTAAGTTGTTCTGAATAGCAGCATCTGCAAAATGACTTTAATGTAACTGAATCCTATTTTCGTAACCTATCCAAAGTGTGTCTTTGTTTGCCAAGTAAGAACCCCAGCTGTGAGGAAAATAACTGTCATTATGCATCAGCGAATCCTGCATCTCTGTGCATCTGTGTGCAGCTGACCACTAATCAAGACAGCAGAATTGAGTGTTCAATCAAGAACTAGTTAGATAAGGTCGAAGTTATTCATGAAAATTTTAAAGAAACAAGTTTTAACCTATAAAATACGTGTATATCTAATAAAGGGTAGGAAAAAAACAAAGTAAAAATAGTGACAAGGAATTATATTGTCAAAAGTTTCACACTAAATTCAATAACAGGACGAAAATCACAACTTAAATTACTATCATCGGGAAAATACATGTCTTATGTCAGTTTTTACTTACTGTCAATAATGCCGTAGTTTTATGAAAGTACTCTACTGCCTCCTTGTGGATAAAATGTGTACTATAACAAATGTGTCCAACTTGTAGAGACTTTTAATGAAAGAAAAAAAATATCTCAGAGTATAAGGTTTAAAGGAAACACTCTTCCACCAACGACGCATTTTTTTATGGTTGGAGACTTATCAAAATTATTATCAAACTTACAGAACAAAAGTTTTATGAATATGCACATTTTGGTGAAAAAGTAATATGGTCTATTTGGCCAAAAATAACTATATAAGCAAGAATGATTAAATATTTGAATGGCCATATTGTAGTGATTTTTTTCTTTCTAATGTGTTTTTGCCCTATGAATTAAACTGTTCTCCTTTTACTTTGCTTTTTAAGGGGATTGTTTGTCCTATCGCGGCACCAGTAGAGACTCTTCCTGTTAGAGTACACATCAGGTTAGCGTGTTAGCGGTTTCTCTGAAGGTCGTCTGACTAACTGTGGGTATCTTGAAAATAATTTAACTTAATTTTTTTCTGTCATTTAATTTTTTAAACAAATTTCCATGTCATATTGAAGCCGAATGTTACGATTTATGTTCAACTTATATCGATTTTGCTGCAGGTCCTTGACGCGGTCTGGTTAGCCGTTAGCTCTTTTTTGACCTAGCTAACACTAGCCAATCATTAGCTAAATGCTAACTAAAAAGCGACTTCACAATATGAAATAACGAACTCTAATTACTTTATTTTACATACAGACATGTTTATGATTCATAACTAAAACATAAATAATATGCTAAGTCGTTGTTTCTCCGTAAACGTCTCGGTCAGATATTGTTGACCTTTTTTTTATAAACCCAGTCTTCGATGCTCAATTTATGTATTTGAGTAGTGTGTGTCTAGTTTGTTAAAAATACGTTGATTCTTAGTTGAAAGTTTCACCTTGAGTTAAATATTGGCTTGTTGTAATTGCTGACATGACTTGGCAACAGCAGTTAATGGCGATCTGCCTACTGTTAACACGAATGATATAGTCATTGAGCTTTTGAGGCTGTGAAGAAAACCTCTCATTTCAGGTTAAGTTCATATTCAGCTGTAAAAATAAATTATTTAAAACTTTAATGCTGAGCAACTCGGTATGATTTTTTTATGCCTACACATAACAAAACTTAGAGCCGTTTGAAATAACCTTTGTATTAAACAGATGTGTTTTTGATAGTAGATATAAGGCAAACACTTAAGGGCAGTTTTAATTTTACAACCCTTTTAATTAGACGCATATTAAACGCAAAACACCAATGTCACTAAATTGGCAAGGGTGAATTTAAAACTAAAATACAGCAGCCTTTTAAGTTAAGCATTTTTCAATATATGACCAGTTTAAAAGCTTATTGAAACACCAAAGGTCTGAGCAGTGGATCTTAAAAAAGACGGATACACTGAATGGAGAGATCTTAAGACTGAGAACCAAAGCCAGAAAAGATGTACTAGAAATATAAAGATAATAAATAGGATTGAAAGAAAAATATTATGAAATATTGAATAATGTTATACGTGTTGATGGATTATGAAAAGTATTTAGATGGGTTTAAACATGCAATATAAAATATCTTTATATTATACTGTTTATCATGAAACATTGGTATGACCCTCCAACACACGTAGAACAGATGGAGACTTAGAAATCAAAATTCATTGTTCCTCATTAGAGAGTGAGGAAGAGTTAATGAATCGGTCAGAATAATACATCTAAAAATTTAATTGAAAGAACTTCTAAACCAGCTGCAATCATCTGCAACTTATTCTAAACACCATGAAATTAGCAAACGTTATCCCACTCTATAAAACTGGAAACAAACAGCTCTTTACAAACTACTTTACTGAGGCACTTTACTACCTCAGTGCTCCCAAAGTTTAGAATGGCCTTTTATTAACCAGTTGGATAAAATTCTTTGCAAACACAACCTACCCATAGAAAGTGATGAAAAATTTGGAGCAAATAGCTCAGCAGCAGAAGATCTTACCAGGGAGCGCTGTCCTAATGGTTAGATTTGTGTGCTTGTGCTTTGAGGAGGTTGCCAGTATCCGGTTGGATCCCCTCAGCCTCTGCTCCCACTCTGGGTTCCTGAGCAAAACCCTCGATAAGAAAAATAGTTGTTAGTTGCAGCCCTAAGCTCGGTAGAACGTGTTGGCCAATGTGTTTAGCTGGTGCCTCTGATTAAGATATATTAGTGTATGAATTAGTGCTTGTTTGTTTTTTTTCATTGCTGAGAAACAAATTAATTGTTATGGTGGAGTTTTTTTTATTATTATTATTTATTTACTGGGAAAAATATAATAATTGCTCATTAACATGTTGTCATGATGACCATCTTTGCAGGGTAACTATACTGGTTCACCAACTTATCATATGTTGCATTTTGTCTTTCCTCCCAAACAGTTGATCCATCATGTCTCTGCCAAAGCCAGTGATGAGGGGACTGTTGGCGAAGCGCCTGAGGTTCCATCTGCCCATTGCTTTTACGCTCGCCATAACAGCAGCAATTGCGTTCAAGGTGAGAACAAGGCACTAATACAGCCAGACTTAGGTTAGTACTGTAATGCTAGCTATGATCGAGTATGTTAAAATTTGTTGAGTACTGTCAGCTTCTCCTAAAAGTATGCAGACCTAGCTATTGATTTGCTGAGTTCAAGTCCTGCAGAACAGTCAGGCTGATAATGCTTTTGGTTTACCGTGTGAGAATGTGTGTCAATTATAGAATGTTTGTAGAAAAACACAAAAAACAAGAACATCTAGTTCTGTTTGGTTGAAATGAACTTAGACAACTTTTATTATCATTTTGTATACGCATTTTATATACAAAACAAAATTTAGTTTTGTACAACATTTCCATTTCATAAACTGCAGCAGTGATCAAATGTAAATGGTGTGGGAGAAAAAACATGGTGCAAAAACGCAATGAGGTGGAAGTTCAGAGCATTTCAAGACAAATATATATGGTGAAATATGCAGTAGAATGTAAATATTTAGCAACAACCGATATTTACTCCAAATTATAGATGTCAGTAATTACAAGCGGTTGATTTTTTTTTTTTAAACTAAATTAATGGAATTGTTTTCATGTAAAAAAAAAAAAGTGTCTGAGTTTTGCTGATGAGTAGCAAAGCAAGAACAGCTATAATAAAATCCAGGTGGCAATTTGAAGAATTCAGCATGACTGCTGGCTTCTTTTGTATTTTGTGTATTAGATACCTTGTCAGTTATTGATCTAGAAGTTTTTCACTTTATAGATTTAGATCATAGTATATATATCATTGTCAAAAATAAAAAACAAATTGTGAAATCTCCTGTTTCCTACAGTTTACAGTGACTGAGCCCAGGAAAAAGGCATATGCTGATTTCTACAAGCAATATGACGCAGTCAAAGAGTTCAACGCCATGAGGGAAGCTGGCATCTTTGAGAGTGTGCGGCCTTCTGGAGAGTAAAGCTTCTGTGAGTTTTTTTATGTTTAAAATTGACTTCATATGTATTAAAGTAAAAATTATAATTAGCCGTGTCTAATACTTTTCTAAATCCTTCTTCCAGCTCCCCCGTCCTGTCATTCATTCCTGGTCTGAAGATGGTTTCCCTTTGATGCTTACTGATCACATGTGAACATCTCTCTGCTGTTTGTTCCTCCAAATAAAATATTCTATTAATGTAACTGTTCCTGCGTGATAATTTTAAAAGTTCTGCCAAAATAATCTATTCTCTGCATAGTCTTTGATATGTTGAAAGATTAGTATTCTTTTGCAGTAAATTAAGTGTTTTAAAACAAAGCTATATTGTATCTGGCTTAGTACTTGATGCCAAAAGTTTGCTATAAATAAATCGGGTAATGATTTGGATACCATTGGTATAAGTATATATTTGCATGGCGCCCTCTGCTGTTGTTTTCATGTACTGCATGCTTTGTTCGCACCGCCTCCGGCTTCCTGCCTTCCCCTCAGCACTTCCTGGTTCTCTCAGGTGGACGATAGAGCGGTGCCAAACGCTCTGTCAAACAAGCCTTAAGTTGCCCAGACACAGCGAGAGGATGTACCTGGAGGCGTGGATACCACAGCCCGAAAAAAACCATTTACTGCGTAAACCCATTTTTTCAGAATGATAAAAATACACGGTGTTTTTTACGGTAACCGAGCAGCAGCGGGAGAATCGCATCTGTGAAGCAGCGCGTTAGCCGCCGCTGTTAGCAGGCTAGCAGGCGGCGACCTGCTACTGTTAGCTTCGACTTGACGTTGTCCAGCTCGGTTCAAGTTTAACTCCAGACCTGAATTAGAAGAGTCCAACTGAACTGAACGGGAAAACATGGAGACCAAGGAGAAAGTACAGATGAGGAATAACCCCCGCAGGTAAGTCTAATAATGAACGCGGCTTAAAGCTTATCAATTCTATGCATTTTACTAAAGGTTAGCCTCGCGTTATACTTAAAGTTAACATACGATTCAATATCTGTTAAAACCATTTGCAACTTTTATAATAAGAAATTAAACAAGAAATTTCCCCTTCTTTATAGTTTTGGCGTAAAGCTTAAATAATAATCTAAATTTATAATAGTTGCTTAAGTCATTTGGTTCAATTACAGGTGCTGTTATCACTTACATGTGCCTGAATGTTTTATATGAAACTTTAACATGTTTTATATCGCATATTTCAATATAGAAGCCCTTAATCTATATTTGAAGTAAAAGGTTTGGTTTTCAGAAAAATAAATCATTGTTTCTCCTTTGATCATTTTCTCCTGGCCTATTTTAAGTTTAATGAATATATGTTCATTTTAGACAGTTAGCTGATCCGTTTTCTGCTTAAAGAGGGTAATTTAAAAAAATATGTAATGAAACATTAATATTTTTATGCCCTTGCATCATTCAGAGTTGCTGAATTTTCTTTCCTCTCCAAAGCAATGTTAAACATGAATGCATTGACATACCTGAGTATTTGATCAAGATTAAGATGCTTTTGTTGGTCTGTGTTTTAAATCTCAGGGCTTGTTGCTATCAGAGGTCCCCTAATCTAATTAAATAACTTAATCCCCTCTAAATCTTTCTGAAAGCTGCCTTAATCCACAGTGGTATTAGAAAATCATCTAATCTGCTCTGTAATTAGAAAGTTGTACCTTAGTGTGAGGTGCTGATATAAATGAGGTTAAGAGACCAAATAACTGGTTTTGCAGCAGGAAAATAAGGTCAACAGCTGTTAAGATATTTATAAATTATATGATTAATAAAAGTTGGGGTAATATTTTCTGTTTTACTACTTAGATTCTGATTTTTGCATTTACTCACTTTGTTGTATCTTCCCACAGTTTTACAAACTGGGCCATCAAATGATTCTGTAACCTGTAGGCAGAAGATTGGTAGTTCCAGTCACTGAGTCATTTGTTCACTTTAAATGACTCCACGCTCCAACACACCTGAATCAATAGGTTCAATAAACTCCTCTGCATGCACCCCCAGATATAGATAAGCCCCCAAACCACCCATTGTTAGGATTCTGGTTTTTTACAAAGTCAGAAAACATGTTAAACATGACAGCCCTGGAGGACTGGAAACACAATCTGGCTCTGAACTCACTGTGGTGGGGATTGTTTGCCAGGCCAAACATCCAATTAAAGTTCCAATTAAGCCATTACTAAGGCACTGGGGTCAAGTCTCTATACGCAGGCAAAAAGAAGTTTCAATATCCAGTCTTGATGATGGTTCTGGATGGTTTATGTTCTATTTTTGAGTACAATTAAAGAGTACAAACTTCTTCTTTTGTTCTACCTCTCTTGCAACCATAGACTCCAAACCCAAAATGCCTGCTGGTCCTTTCCCAGGTCCCTACACTTATAGAAAGTGGACTGATCCACATCACTTCCTGTCATACCTCAGAACAAACACAAAAATAGGAAAAATAATAAAACAAAGATAAATAGAATCAACTATTATTAACCTGCAAATATACTCTGTACATAATACAAACAATTCAAATGGATAAAAAGAATAAAGAATAAATAGCTCCAGCACTGACTGTATTTGAATTTAGGATGACTGAATCTGTCTATGCAGCAATCAGAATAATACACAGTTTAATCTGTTATTGGTATAAAACAACTCTGTTTATAATATATTCACATTTTTTATGCAGTTTAAGTGCATAATTCTGTAACTTTTTTGTCTTAGTTTTTGTTGGAGCAGGAGTCAAAGGTGATGAACTGCAGCGGGAGTCTGTCCCCTTCACTAACTGGAATTGAGCTTTGCTTTTTCCCAGATTCAAAAGGTTTTAGCTCCAGTAATACAATAGTAAACATAATTGTAGGAGCCTACGATCTCAAAATATACTAGCTTATTGAAGCATGCAACTATGGATAAAGAGCTCTAAAAGTCAGACTCTTTGGGAAGTTATAGCCATTTTTTTGCTAATTTCATTTAGCTGGTCAGTAAAATGACAGCAGCAAATTGTAATAAACACCTTATTAATATCAATAAAAACAGAATTTTTAAATATAGATCTTGAACCACATGGTTTCTGGGAAATGTAGGAAGGGGGAAGCAGGGCTGACTTGCATTTAAAGATTAAAGGTAACCTTTAAATAGGGAAGGGTGAAGGTTATGTTTTATTTATTTATTTTCCTTGCCTGTATTTCAAATAGGCAAAACAAAGAATTAACCAATAATTTTTAATATTTTCTGATATGAAAGGCTATATATATATATATATATATACTCCTGCATCGTTTTTTTTTTTTTTCTGTTCTTTAGACTGATATGTTAAAGGTGATTAAAAAAGATGTAAAAGAAAAGTTGGATAAATGGTTCCCAATATTTGGTTGCCACAGCTTGTACGCATAGAACGCATTACTTTGAGTTTTAATTAATACATTTTCAGACTGGGACACTGTATTAGAAAAATATAAACCTGATGAGGCCATCCTTAGTTTGATCATCTTTGTTTTGACTGTTGTGTTAGTTGTAGTCGACCCAGATGAAGTTAAGTTTTTTTTCTACTGCTGACCTGCTTAACTATACTGTTATTAGATAAATTATATTTGAAGTTAATGTAAAAGGTTCCCAGCCAACTTTTTAAGGCGGCAGAAGAGGAACGGCAGAGCCACTGTGAGTGCAGCTGTCAGGCTTCTATGTGATTTACTGCCTGGTTAGTGTGAGTTGGTTCTGCTGGCCTGTTTGGATCCTTCTCCACTGTCACATCATAACATGAGAGTTTATCAAACATGATGGGTGACAGTTATACAAACACAACTGTGGCCACTCGCTCTGTGCTCCAGCAGTGGTTCTGATTCTTTGCCCCCATTACCTCCTAATGTTAGACGGTATAAACAGATACAGGCAGCCATTGACTGACAGTCATTTAGATTTTGCTGTTGGGTTTTGTTTCTTTTTTTATACACAGCATTTTTTATCAGGGTTTACACTGGGACAAAAAATATGCAGAGTCGTTAATGTTTGCCTTTCTGTGAACAAGCCTTGATTTTTGTTCATGTGGTAAAGACATTTAGTTTGTTCAGAATGGGAACCAGTTTTTAGCTGAATGTGCTGAGTGTGTTTGGCAGTAGGAACTAAGGAGTTCCTATTCTGCTCCCCTATCAGGATGATGCCCGTTAAAAAAAACACAGCTCTGCTATCATGTCTACTCAGTCATCAGCTGTTTCCTTACCCAGGCAATGCAAAAGTAGCATTTTAACTGTATCTGTTTATTTAAATGAGCATGCTTTTTAGCACCGCTTCAAGCATTAGCTAAAAATGTGCAAAGTTGATCAGCAATTATTGCTCTCACTTAATTTCTCTTTTTATTTAAATAATACATTTATTGTAAAGTATAAGGCCCTTTGGTACTGTTTGCAGGTAAAACTTAAAGTCATCTAATGATGTTGGGATTACATTTATAACATGCATTGGACGCTTTTTTTTTTTTTTTTTTATGTCTGCAGTACTATTGATTACCGGAATAAATCTAATAATTACATGAAATGTCCTTAATACAAATAAATAATTTCCATGATGACATTTATTAGAGTTTTAAAAGTGTGTGTTTGTTTCTTTTTCATTACCCTTTTGTTTATATTCTAGAATAATTCATTAGTTTAGTTAAATGTAATTTATGCTGAATAATTCAATATTACTCGGGGATAAAACTATATGGTTCATTATGTAGCACACTATACGGCGTTTATTATGGGTCAGTAAAAAAAAAAAAAGGAAGGAGTTTCTACCAGCCTTCCTGAAAACCAGCTAGAGTCCTTTACCTGCAGCTGACATTTTTCATGTTTAGGCTTCAAAATCAAAAGTTAGTCGTTCATCTATGGTTTCTGGACAAATCTTAATACCAACCAGGCTTGGCTGAACACCGAGGGTTTTGACCAAAACATAATCTTCTTTGTCCGTTGTGAACTTTATTGTTGAGTTACTATTTGGAACAAGTAGTTTAGTTTTTATATATATAGTATCGATTCATTTTTTTATTTATTTTTTCCTCCAGTCTATTTTTATCTACCATATTTGCTTCTGGACTCCCATGCTGCGGTGGTGCTAAACCTATTTTGCCCTCCTACCTCGCTTCCTTTAGCCACTACCCTTTTCCCGCTGGCACACACACACTCGCGTAAACAGTAGGCAAGACAGACATGGAGGAGATAGCGGAGCTGAAAGAAGAGGTAGGCAAGACAGACGTGGCAGAGGAAAAAGAAGATCATGTATTCTTGAGTATCGAAAATAATCGAATCGTTGGGTCAGGAAATTGATACTGAATCGAATCGCCACAAATGATTAGGGAACAGTTACTTTAACCTAAATATATTTTTACTATTATGTTCTTTAAGTAGAATATCAGTTGTGTTTGGTTGCTGGATTATTCAGTTATGCAAACCCAGTTTAAGAAATGGTTGTAAAAACATTTGCAGATTTTCTTTTTGTATGAAAACGGTGTTGCTGAGGTTGCATAGCATATAGACAAACAAAAAAAGTGAAAGAAATGATTAAATGTTGCTTCTTTAAACATTCGGTATGTCCCCCATTTGCTTTTTGCAAGAGTTGAAAGAGTTCATTTGAAAAGCAGATCAAGATTTTCTTGTGGGCTCCTGTGGTCAAATTAGCCTTTCAAGGCTCCTGTCTCTGTGCTGCTTTCGACCCAGAGTTGATCGACACTGGCTTGGCTTCAGGCTGGATTGGGCCGTACAGAGTCTGAGTTGTGGTTCAGAGGTTTCACAGGAAGGCCACATATTTACTGAGCCATGATCTCGCTTTAAAGATACAGTTTTGACAGCTTCTATTATTCACAGTAATGACTGCAGGTTAAGTTGAATTTAAGAAATGCATTTGAGTTTGGGATTACATTATCTATTTATTACATTTAATGCCTTTCTGTATGATTTAAACCAGGTCAGATAGCAAGGATAAATAATTAGATTAAAAAACATAATGTTTAAGAGTTTGAGTCTAGAGTCTCAACACAGTCATTAAACTGCCATGACAATATAAATGAGTGAAGTAGATGCATCCAAAGCTACACAATTTCCTCCCATGTGAGCTGGCATTTCCAAATGCAGATATTCATCATCTATTAAAATGTGCCAGTAATGGCTGACTAATACCGAACACGGCAGGCTTGTGGGAATGTTTTAGTTGAGCTGGTGGTGGGCTAATCCACCAACACCAACGTCCCTGGAGGCCTAACTCAGCCGTTTGTTTTGGCAGTTTGAACTAATTGGATATTTCCTCCTCCCTTCCTGCTTTATCTGAACACAAGCCATTCACAGTCGACATCTGGGAAGTTTTTAGATCTATTTTGGTCTCTTAGCTGAAGTATTTTTGTCTGGGATGAAGAGGTTTAAAGCCGGAGCTTCTAAGAAGAGATCTGCTAAAATAAACGATAGTTCTAAGTCTTGTTCATGTTTTCCGTCTTCTCTTTAGATTTAATTCATGAGAAATTCCTGTTTAATTGATTTATTTTGCTGTTTAAATATTAAGGTTGGGAGGAAAAGTCAACAAACATTTTATTGCTTCTGTGTCTCCTTTTCCAGCAGCATCTCCTCACCAGCATCTATCTCCCACTTATCATTTCAGACAGCTGAAGAAGCTGAGCGAGGACAGCCTCACCAAGCAGCCAGAGGAAGTCCTTGATGTCCTAGAGAAGCTGGGTGAAGGGTGAGTCAGTAAGATTATAACTGATTACACAGCCCTGATAAGCAATACCGTCTGGATGTCTATATCTACCTGCATTTCAAGGGGATCTAAGCTTTGATGTTGATCTGCCTCTGTTTTCTATTTTCTTTCATAGTCTCTCTTTTATTTCCTGCTCTGTCTTTCTGCCTCATTAATTTCTCCCTCCTCGTTTGCCAGTAAGCTCCGCCCCCTGTTGTGCCTGTCAGTCTAAACAGCGCCTCTTCATATCCTGTTTCTCAATGCTCTTCCTGTTTTCAGCAGCTGATTGACACTGTGCACGCGTGTGTCACAACTGATGCCAGTAGAAAGGAACGATTATCCATCAAATCCTGTCCAGTTTCTTCCGTCCTCTCTGCTCATTAATCAATCATTAGCAGCACCTCGCTTGATGTGACTTTGGTTCATCTAAGTTGTGTTTATAGTTTGTTTTTAAAACAGTTTCCACCAGTGGAGAAGGTGACCAAATTGGACATCAAACAAAAAAAATATGCAGTCCATTTGGGTCCAGACAGCTGATTGCTTTTAGTCACTCCTGCTTAAAAGAAAAGCAAAATAAAATGTAAGAGTAGGTAACACTAATGAACACAAAACTATCTGCAGTGAGAGTTGGACTGGATCATGAATTGTATGTATTTAACTGCTCTAAATGCGTTGACTTCCCTTTCTCAACTAGAGTCCTAATTGTGTTCAAACTAGTTAAAAGCTGAATGAAAATGTGATCTGATTGAAAAGAGTTTGAGGAAAAATCAGCTGTGGCTTTAGACAACTGGCATTCCTACATGATTTGTTCCAAATTAGATATGGTTTTAAACTTTGTTTGATGTTTACTGACTGATAACTCGGTTTACTTGTCCAACCGGTTCTTGGTATTTATAGTTGAGATAAACGGATAAAAACATCCTGAAGAAACCTTTGTTTGTCTGCAGGTCCTATGGTTGTGTCTTTAAAGCCAATCACAAAGAAACCGGGGAGATTGTTGCTATCAAACAAGTTCCTGTGGAGTCTGATCTGCAGGAGATCATCAAAGAAATCTCCATCATGCAGCAATGCAACAGGTATGTATGGAGCTGGTTACTGCATCCCCTGTGGGATGTAGAACCTCATAAAGAAGCAGAAATCAGAACATTTAGAAACAGTCTGTATAAATAAATCATCTCTGTGTTCAGTCCCCATGTAGTGCGCTACTATGGCAGCTACTTCAAAAACAGTGACCTGTGGATAGTCATGGAGTATTGTGGTGGAGGATCAGTATTGGATATCATCCGATTACGTAACAAGACGGTAATGTAACACTCAGTCCTGCTCACACACTTACGCCAAGGTGTCACGTTAAAAACTGGGTGAAAGAATGTAAAGAACAGATGGTTCACAACAAGATTTTACTTTATTTTTTATTTTTTGCCTTAAATCTTTTTAACCTTTAACAATTTCAGTGGTGTGTTTCTACTTGAAATCTTCCAATTACATGTAGGTGATTGAAAATAAGGTTTTTCCAATATAGTCAGTAGTTTGTTGTATTTAACCCTTTGTAGGATTAAAGATTCTGCTAAAAAACAATTATAGAGACAATATAAAGATAAACCTAGTCACGAGACAAACAGCTAATCAGCTCACAGAAAGTCCCTGTACTGTAGCTTACAATGCACCTACAACATAGAATATGACAGCACCACAGTGGCGGAGGGGGCATATTTAGGACTGATGGAGGACAAAATACTTTTACTATTACATACCATGCAACCTTTTATTTTATCTTACTGTTTAAAGCAGCCGATCTTTTAACTATCCATTATGTCACAGCACACTGCTTTTAAAAAGGGGTAAAGTCCAACCTGAGACAAAAGGGAAAATCATTTCATTTTGTCTTCTTTACAATGCCCATATAAATCTTTACCAATCACAAAACTGCTCTTCACTGCAAGAAAAATGTTGACTCTTTCTAGAACAAGCAGCAAGAATTCTGAAAGACATTGATTATAGCAGGAAATGGTGTAGTTTTTTTCTTGGAGCAATTGGATCAAGAAACGAATTGATGCTTTTCTTTGAGTGTGTAGCAGGTTTAAGCTTCTAGCTCAGGGACCCAGGGTGACAGTCTGTTTCAGAATGACAACCTCTCCAGCATGCAAATTACTTGCTGTCTAACCTAAAAGCCAACCCAAAAGCAGAACATTTAAAGTTGCAGAAAACAGTCAATGTATTGATTTTGTAACCCCCAAAGCAGCCCTGTTGTTTCACAGCAGTTGAGGACTCCTGATGATATAAATGGGTCTGAATCTGGTTCCGTTTAAAGCTGAGAACAAGAAATCATTGTTTCCCTAAAAATGTTGGTCTGTGAATGGATGGGCAGTTTGAGATACAAAGATCTCAAAGGCTTTTACATTGCATTTAGAAATGTTTATTAAAGGACACTTTAGCTCTGTAACTTCACATGATTAAGTTATGCAGACATATTTGTCAGGTAGAAAAAGTTTCATTAGGAATTAATCAGAAGTTTAGCCTATAGGTGTTGCTTTGAAATTGAGGTTAGTTAACAAAGTTGAAATAGATATTGTAAACCTTATTCTCCCTTCATATGAATTTGGATTTCAGTAATAATTCTCAAGGCTTTTAAAAATATTTTTGAATTACATTACTTGTTCACTTCATTTGAAATTGTTCCTTTACTAACCCTAATTTTCTGCAGAATCCAATCCTCTCGTTTTCTTTAATCACTCTTTTTGTGTCTGTTTATGCTTTATAGCTCTCAGAAGATGAGATTGCCACTGTCCTTCACTCAACGCTGAAGGGTCTGGAGTATCTTCACTTCATGAGGAAAATCCACAGAGATATCAAAGCTGGAAACATTCTGCTGAACACAGAAGGTCAAGCCAAACTGGCTGACTTTGGAGTTGCTGGACAGCTCACAGTAAGCAGAAGGCTCAACTCGTACTTGTCCCCCACGTTTATTGGAAAGTTAGAGAAAACAAACGTTGATCCTGACTGATTTTCTACATATTAACTATAATATAGTTTGTTTTAAAACTTTTCCTGTTATTTATCCTGGTAGTTAAACATCCAGCCATCAGGGCCCAGTTTTAGAAAGTGAGATTTAACTATTCCGAGTATAGAGCATTTAACCTGAGTCATCTTATAATATTGAGGGTCTTTGGTCTTAAAACGGTGATATCAATCAGCTGACTCGACTATGAGTTAAGTAAGCCCCATTTTTAGGGTGTCAATAAAACCCAGAAAACACTGTCAAATGTGTGACAGACTGGGGGTAACTTTAGGAAATCCTGCTACTGAGCAGAGTTAGATTAATTTATCTCTGAATACCTGCTATCCATCTTCCTGAACCCTAAAGTCCTGGGTATGAAGGGATTTACCCCTCAATTTATTCTGAGTTCTGACTTGGATATAATAAATGGCACTTTCCCTGATGCCATTAAAACTTCTTTAAAACGTTTAGGTTTAGGGTAAATCATCCTGTCTTCTGCTTTTCCTCTGTAGGACACCATGGCAAAGCGAAACACAGTCATCGGCACACCGTTCTGGATGGCTCCGGAGGTCATTCAGGAGATAGGCTACAACTGTGGGGCTGACATCTGGTCCTTGGGAATTACAGCCATAGAGATGGCTGAGGGCAAACCGCCCTATGCTGACATACATCCAATGAGGGTGAGTTTCGGTTGGTTGTCTAAATTAAGGAAAAAAAATAAAAAGACTTTGTGGATCCTGAAGGGAAATTAAATATTAAAAAACAACCTAAGTTCAACTGTCACACTAGCAACAATGTTTTAATGAGTATCTTTAATATAAGGTATTGAATAAGAATTGCTCAACAACTTCTCTTCTTGTAGGCAATCTTCATGATTCCAACCAACCCTCCCCCAACGTTTCGCAACCCAGATCATTGGTCTCCAGATTTTCTAGACTTTGTCAAAAAATGTTTGGTGAAAAACCCTGAAAATAGGGCAACAGCTACACAGCTGTTACAGGTAAAGTTCTACATTATGTTAGCATTTTAGCACAATGCTAAGTTACACAGACAGTTTTTACTTTACTCACTAGTAGTGAAAATAAATGTGTTTGGAAGAATTTCAGACTTGATTCTAAGTTTCTTTCTTCCCGACAGCATCCTTTTATCAAATCAGCCAAACCCAATTCCATCCTGAGAGCCTTAATCCAAGATGCGATGGAGATCAAACTAAAGAGGGAAGAGGAGGCAGAGCAGAGAGAACAAGACGCTGAAGACGAAAACAATTCGGTACATGTTTCATGTTTTTATTTTTTTTTTTCCTTCATGTTCTCCCCATAGGTTTTAATTTTTTTTTTTAATTTATCTGTAACTTGGGCACTGACTGACACACTGCCTGTACATTCCAGGATGAAGACGAGGTTGATCAGGGGACAATGGTTCGGGCTGGAACCGGTGATTCTGGAACTGTTCGGGCTGCTGGCTCATTGGCAAGTTCACTAAGTGGTACCATGATCGAGCACGAGGACACGGGAACCATGCAGTCACAGCTTGGCACCATGGTCATCAACTCAGATGATGAGGATGAGGAAGAGGCTGGTACTATGAAAAGTAAGTTCTTCTTTGCAAATTGCACCAATGTTCATAAAACTTTTGTTTCCAGGTCAATATAAATTGGCATCAATTTAATCAGATGACCTAGTAAGTATTAGAAGAAAAGCAATAAGCTGTAAATAATTTTCCCATATATAATCATATTTTCCTTTACATTGATATTGCATCATATTTTTGACAGCGTTGCTTTTTAGTAAGACTTAAGTTAATCCATAGCTACTGTTGAACAAATCAACTGTTATTAATGTTATTTAATAACTGAACAAGGGCTGAACCAATTAATCACCTAAATCAAAAATTGACATAATTGTCAACTAAGTTAGTAACCGATTAATCATTAACTAAACTATAGAGATTCTTAAATATGCCTTTAGCTGACAGAGCAATCCACATAGAGCAGTAATTATACCAAATTGTAAAAATATATATATAAACATTTTGATTAAGATAAAAATACCTTTTTTGTCTGTCAGTATGCTCTATCCTAAACTTTTTAGTTTAACCTTGTTTAATTTTGTAAAAAATTTTCTTTAATTAAACTCTGGCTATGCGATTGTTAATAAATTAATAAAATAATGATAGACAGATTATTCAAAGAGCGAAATAATCATTATTTGCAGCCCTAAACTGACTGCCTTCAAGGAAAACTGATGTCTATAGTATAAACTAAAAAGTTTATACTATAGACATCAGGCGATCTATCCACCAGGGGGCACAAGGTGTCCATGACCAAAATGACTGGAGAAATATTTTTGTATTTGTTGATATTATACAAAAGCAAATATTCCTGAATTTTACAGACCTCAGCTTAAGCTTTCAAGAGGCTTATTTATTTATGTATATTGTTAATCTTTCTTACTATAGTGAACATATCTTCGTCAGAAAACCAGACAATGGTTCCTGATGCATTTTGATGTTCCTGAAAAGATATTACTGCTCCAGGGAAATTTAGAGGTTATTCTCAAACAAAACTAAAAAAAACTTAAAATTAATAGATTTTTATTCATACATCTATTTGTTGTTTTTCCAAACTATTTTAATCTAGAACTTCTACGAGTATTGAGCATTAACGTGTTGAATCAGATCCAAGGTTCGATTTATAACCCTTTATTTGTGCAGCATCCGCCTGGAGTCCGTGGTGTAAGTGTTAGGAGCATTAGATCTCCTAGGTGCTTTTGATTGGGAGGTTTTATTGGAGTTGCATTTTGTTTGTGTGCCGGGAGTCTGTGGGTGGACTTTTTACTTTTATAGGCGTTGAAATTAACCCCAAAGAGAATATTGCATATGTGGTTGTGTGTAAGTTTGACTAACTGTGACTCCAGGGATGCACGCTCGTGTGTGTGGAAAAAAGAAGTAATTGTAGAACCTAATGATGTAATTCTACAACTCCTACACTGCATCTAATGAGGCTTCTTTATGAGTCAGGGAAGCTTTGTAACACTTATTATCTTAAATAGAAAATATCCTTATTGAAGTAAACGGCATGGCTCTGTGTAATGAGTCATAAATGGTTAAAACCTTCCATCCTAAAATAGCAATAAAACCAACTTTGACATTAAAACACATACATACTAACGCTGCAAGCAAAGAATCGACTCACAACAAAACTTTGATTAATTGTTTATTAGGTTTAAATTTGTTCAATCCGAGTAATTGAGTACGTTCAAAGGAATTCTGTCAGTGTTGTAGTTTTATTGCCACCTGCTAGAGGCTGCAGCTCTTCATCCTTAAGCGTATGCTTACTGGTATTTTCAATAAAAGTAAAGCCAAACCGGAAGCATGAATATATCGAGAATCTGTTCTGGGATTATCAGAATTGATTGCTGGATTATGCTAAAAACAGAGCTACATCAGAATTACATTAGTTTAATATAGCTGGTCTAATATATAGGTGAATATAATGATTTAACTCATTATTGTAAAAAGCATTTCTTAGCCCCTCATATTCAGATCCTCTAAATATAAGAGAAAACTCATGTTTGCTATGACCGAAAAAAAGAGATTGACGGATGACCGTTGATATACGATTGGCTGAATTTAGGTGTACAAGCTGACGTATAACTAACTGGCCTGCATAAAATAACGGGGGGAAGCACAGATTTTAAGACAGGATTTATTTTAAAAATAGAAATTTTCTTACTTTTGGGACAATATAGTCTGACAAAGAGAACATTTATATACATGCTTAAGCCAGAATGATTTGACATTTAAATATGACTTCCCTACTGCTTTAAAGCATGGGGGTGGTCACATCATGCTCTGGAGATTCTTCTCAGCCCATCTTTCTTAAAAGCTCATTAAAAAATATTGCCAAATCTGGAAAAAAATATTTTATATTTACTCTGAGAACTACAAATGAAATGCAAACTGACTTAGCAAGCAGCAAAAGCTATTCTGAAATTGTTTGATAACAAGTTAAATGTTCCACATTGACCAAATCAAAGGCTTGATCTCAATCCTGTTGACTTTATTCCTAGACTTTAATAGATCTTTTGTCTACTTTGAACCTAAGCAACCTGAAAGACTGTAAGCCATTTTCAATGGAGGAAAATTGTTCTGCTCACATCTGTTTATCGGTTTTCAAACCTATCCACACTAAGAGCTGTAATTTTTTTCCAAGGGGCAATTTTTCAACACAAACCAGAAGCTGAATAAAATGACAGTCTTTCAAAGTTATTATCACTTTATGGTTTTATTGATTATTTATTGATTCATTTTTTTAAAGTTTTTTTTGTCCAAATTTCTTTTCCATAAAGCAAAATGATGTTGACCACATCAGTGTCATTTAACATCCAAATGCAGAGACTTTTCGTAGGCAATTTATATGATGCACTTCTGATGCAAGCATTTTAGAAATGATTATGCATTAAACCCAAATGTCAGTACATTGAACACAAGGACACGTTTATTCAATATTACCTCATCTTGGTTGCATGGACAATGATAAATCTTGATCTCATGCTAGCTCATTTAGTCCACACACACACACACACACACTTCTCCGATCAGATTTCTTAGCATTGTGTTAGCATGGATCTTCTCTCCCTGCTCTTTAAGCTGCATTAACACTGAAACATTTAGAAATCAGAATAACATCAAAACCCCAGATGCTGCTGTTTTGTGTTTCAGTGTGTATTTCTCTGACTTCTCCACAGTAATATTTGGTTATTTTTTTTGTGTAAAGTTTTGTGTGTATCTGTCCCTCTGTGCACTTCCACCAGACTAATGACTCTGATTTGATGGTGCCTGAGCCCTGAGGATATAGAAAGAGGATTAGATCAGACATCGATCCCACTAAAAGTACTAAAAAAATAAAACGCCTTTTAATTTACACTGATTAGCTATTAACCCTCACTCACAATGATTCAGAAAAAAGCATTCTACCTTTGGCGATCTGGACTGCTGCTCCCTTTTACTGTAAATTGCATTAACTCAAAATGCATTCCTATAATCTTGGATTCTTTTTCAAACTAAAATATGAAACTGTTTATTATAAAGAATAAGTGGTTATGAAAACCACACAGTAAAGGTCTGGGATTTGCATCATTTACCTTTTAGTACAGATTAGTTTAAAGTAATTATAAATAAATCCAATAATTTCATTTCCACATTCAGACTGGAATCTAACTAGGCTCCAATGTGACCCGAAACATGGGACCTGATCTTTTTGCATTGACCTGTTGGACTCACCTATTCCTAATATGTCTAGTTTGATGAAAACCTCAATTAGTGATTGATTATTGAAAGGTTAATTTATGTCAAAACAATTGAATAATTACTGAAATTTTTTTGAGGCATTACAATTCCACGTAATAAATCAAATCTATTTTAAATTGGCTGTAAATGTTTAACATTTGTTGCATTAGCACTGTTCAAGATAACAGATTCAATTTTTTTTTCCTGATAACTAAAGCCAATTTTAACATATAGCATTATTGATTTTAGCATTATTGATAATACTACTCTCTTCAAGTTTACAACTGACCAGTTCTTTCCAATGCTTGCTGCTTTAAATAATGCTTTTGACATTTTGTGGTGAGACTGTACTGAATGAAATAAAGTCAAGGTAACAGATCTTGTTCAGATGAGGAAAATTTCTTTTTATTGCAAACATTTTGGAATTAAAGGAGTGTTCTTATTGCTATGAAATACCCTTAATGATTTTGATGCTTCTGAAATATAATAGTCCCTACTCTAGTTGGGGTGGACTGCTTTAGTTTTCACTGCAAAAAAAAACCCTGATCTCCAACAACGAATCATGTCAAAGTTTTGCGAAGTTAGGTAAAGGTAGCCTCTTAAGCACATGCTTCATGCAGACAGGTTTCTCACCTACTTGTGAAAATAAGGGGTTTAATGTGTTAGGAAACAGTGTTTCTGCAGCCGTTATGCTCATTAAAATTCAGTGTTACGGCTTAATTTCAGTTTAACAACATTCAGCGTAACTATCCATTACGCTGAAATACACTGGCGAGAACCGTGCTATGGTTTTAAAGTTTGAAATTCTTGAATGTGTTTTAAACTGACACTTTGTAACAGTTCTTGGTTAGCAGCTTGCAGACTGAAGCGCTACAATTAACTCTGTGCAAACTGAAAGTAACTATGCCAATGCTTCATGCAGGGGTCCTCATTATAAATAATGTAAAGCACTGTATGCTGTTCATCTCGTAGGTCTCCTCCTCTGAAAGTTTTATGGTGCTGAATAATAAGGTAGGAGTGGATGTCAACATTCTAAAGTTTAGCATTGTTTGGCTTAAACTTATGTTTAGATTGTAAAACTTTTTAAAAAACCTTTAATAGCATACTTTGCTTACTGTGGAAGATAATGACCTTATTTTATTATAGCATGGTGAAAAGAAGAGGTCAAGCTTTTTAATGTGTATGTAGATAGCCTTGGAAACTGCTGTATCAAAAAGGCTTGATAGACCAGCGGAAAGAAAAATAAAATTTCTGCCTGACTTAAAAAAAAAAATATATTAATAAATCAAGCACTTCAGATTTGCACTTTTTATTTTGAAGGAATTGTACTTTTTTATCTAAGAGAAAGCAAATAGATTAAGTGTATTATCTCCAGTTGTTCACTGTTTAAAGTGATCTTAAAAAGAAAACATTTTTTAAGTGTATCTGCCTTTAATTTGAGCAGGTAAACAAGATGATCTGCCAATGGAATGAGTAAAATACAGATGAATAGGAAATATAAATATGCACTTGAAACAAGATAATGGTTTTGCTCTTCTTAACATTGTATCTTATTTCATTGGCATATATTCTTACTTTCCTGCACAAATCTGGGGAACAAACCTTTATTTAAAGCAAAACTGGTTTACTTATATTTCAATTTTTGCAGTGTTGCCATTTTGCAGCATTAAGCTTCTCTTTTATTCACCAGGCTTCCATCTTCCCCCACTGAAACAGCAATGAAAGTAACCATTACATGTAAAACTTTAAAGAACCAAGAGCTACATTTATTAAGGCCCACTAACTTGCTGGCCTTTAGACTTGCTTGGCATGGAGAGGCAACAAGGCACAGCAGGTCATAATTTATAGTGATGTGAAGCCGTGTATGAAAGACCTTTTTCACCCCATAGATAATTGCTGAAGTTACCAAACAACATTAGATACCAAAGTTAAGCAGACATGAGTTCATGGATTTTTATAGCGCTGACCTTTAGTTATCTGATTGTTTTGGGTGGGCGGGAAGCATCTTCACACTTAGAAAAGTATGGCAAGTTTCCTTAACTTATGATTTTTACAGTCTCTGTGTCCGAGGATAACTTTGTCCTTCTGTTGTCAGATGACATAAAACTTAGCCCATTTTTTTAATCTTCAGATAGAAAAAAATGGCTTTAAATCCAGAAATTGGATCATGACCATTGGATATTTGGTAATCTTAATGAGTCTTTGATGCTGTTTGTTAAACTAGATTCTGACAGAAGTATAAAAATTCAAAGATTCATAAAGCAAAAGAATGTTGATGAAAAATGACAACTAGGTAAATTAAGGCTTATCTTTAACGTAATGAAAGAACTTTTGATACATTTGAGAAACAAAAAGATTGCTCAGTGATATCTGTGCTCAAGATTTAATTAACAATTAGGCATGATGCGCCATCAAAGTCTGCCTTTTGGTTTCCTAAACCTTTTGAAGAGAAACTAAAAGATTTAATAAAAATATAAAAAGTCTGTATTATTAAGCTAAGATCTAGTTATGTGTTGAATCATTTCTTCATAAAATAACTTAATAAAGTTCATGCCTTCCAAGTTAATTACATTTCAATTTCTTTAATTGTATTATTAGGTCCAAACCTGTTGAAATGCCCCTTGAGACTCCTTGCATTTGCCTGTTTTCTTTTTTTACCTTCTTTCTAGCAGGGTAATGTTAGATTAAAAGCCTCATAACTAGAACGGTTCTGTAAAAAAAATATATTTAATCAGGTGTGGTGGATTTCTAAGAATACATTAGTAGTAGAAATTATAACTGTTTTCATAACATTCACCCAGTGGCTTTCTATTTAGTGATGTGTGAATGACGTGGGAGTTTTCCGTCTGTAACACCACAGTTTATTAAAGCCATGAATCCAACACTGAACTGCCCTCACTGATATGCCCCACTGGTGCATTCAAAGGAGAAATTTACTCTACACAGTTTGTGTAGCTGTTTAAACCCCCACATAACCAGGCAAACTGATATAGATGCATCCAAGGTGTTTGTTTATCATAAAGAATACAACTATTTAGATGCCTCTCATTTTCCTGATCTTTTTGAAATCACTTTTAAATTGTTAAAATTATGCTTCATGTGGCAGATTGATTAAAGTCAGTATAGGAAGATACATTATTTAGATAGTGTAAAAACCCCAAAACAGCCTGCACATGAAGAGAAGAGGGGCAGGTTGAACTCCTCCCAACCAGAAGGTGGCACACTTATGCTCGTCCACTCTTGGTTTAACCTTCAATTGCAATGTTTGCCAGTGGGTTGGCAGGTCCACCAAGTACCAAAAAAAAAAAAAAACATGAGCTAGTACCAGCTGTAATTAATAAGTAGCTTTTTTAACGCTAACCCGCTAGTTATTAAAGACGCTGATAAACCTGCAGTAACACACCTGTGCCACATTACAGTACCGCCTGTCCTTAGCTAACCTGATAAATGTTAAGACAAGACTCTACCGGCCAAGCCAACCTGCTGAGACAGCTCATTTCAGCCGCTTGTATCCTATATAAAAAAAATATTTTACTAAACTACGGGTTTTAATAAAATAGTTGTTGTTCTAAACTTTAAACCATTAGCCTGAGTTGCTCATTCAGACCCCACACACCCTAAACCCTTATTCGTTAGTTAAACTTTGATATCTTACATCTTTTGTTCCTATTTCCTTCAAAGACTTGTGTTATGTTCTTTAGAATGCTAACATTAGCATTTGCAAGTGCACAATTTCTCTGCATAAACATCTGTTTCCGCTAATCTCTATGTGAGAGATATTTATATCTATATTGAAGTAGTCCATTCTAGTTTTTGGTGATTATAGCTAAATAAATATCAATGTATTAAAAAAATGGGTGTATCCCTATTTGAGGGCTGTGCACCTGGATCACTTTAGTGTGATTATGACTGTGGAGTAAAAAGGTTAATATTGAAGCAGTATGTTATAATTGCCTAGTGTTTTCTATCCTGTAGTTGATCACCTGAATGGACACACAAATCACTCTGCAGGATTTATTAGATCCAGCTGATACACATTCATTGAAACAATATTGGGCTCTTTAGTTTCCTGTAAAACCATTTTTTTACCTAATGTAGTTGTTGTTCTAAAAACTTCAAAGTTTATTTCCCCCCACATTGTCATGTTTGTCCTAATGTTTTATGTGGCCTTCTTCAGTTTATTGTTGTTTTAATATTTTAGCATCTTATTGATCCCTATGAAGGTAAATAGTTGTAAATTGGACCATTAACACTAGCTTAGTGTGCAGTACCCTGCAGCTTCTAGGGGTTGGGTGAATTACATGCAAGAGTTATGTGTGCGTATATATATATATATATATATATATATATATATATATATATATAAAGCATTGTGCTCCCTTTATTTATACACTCACTCCAAAGCTCGAATATTGCTATGATATATATTTTTAATTATCTCTTTTTTTTATTTTGATAAATGAGCATAGTTCTTGGAAAAAAGAACTTGGTGAAAAACAAAGGACTGAGATACTTTTAGCTGTTATTTACTGTTTTAGTTTTTATACTCGTAATTTTTAAATATAAATATACACATTATTACACAGTAAAACAGTACATTTTAAAGAACTATTTTAATTGATACTCTGTACTGTCAAAAAAAAACAAATTTATTATTCATGCTTGAAAACATTTGTTCTTCCTGGTTTACTGCACCCTCAGATCCTAAAAGCACCTGCTGTTAAATTTATTTACATTTTACGTCCAACCAGAGCTCTTCTAATTAATTAGATGCTCTGGTATGACTTTCAGAATGTCCCTTATGTTAAGCACCTTATTTCATTCTTTAAGAGCAATGCTTCATTGTTGGATTTTTATTACTGTATTGTTTAAGGTTAATAGCCTCATAAAATGATTGAATTTGCATCATGTGCTTTGTATCCATGCATTTTCAAACTTTTAATATAAAGTGCTCAAAAACAAAATCATTGTTTAAATCAAGTCTTTATCCAGTTTTTTAGGCTATTGTTGCCTCTTTTTTTCCAGATAATTCTGGAGATAATAACGTTAGCTAAAAGCATATGAAATGCTACGTTCTGGTACATATTTGGCTCAGCATAACGTTGCAATCTCTTCAGTCAAGTTAATGTGGATTTGGTTGTGTCACACAGGGAGAGACGAGACGATGCAGCCGGCCAAGCCGTCCTTCCTGGAGTACTTTGAGCAGAAAGAAAAGGAAGTAAACAATCACAATGATGGTGGACGCCGCGGAGAAAACAACGCAGACAACCGCAAACTCCCAGCTGAAGGAGATCTTGAAGTTGTGAGTGTGAGAAAGACTTTTCAAACCACAGAGAGAAACAAAAAAAATGTATGTTGTAACTCTACCAACTCCTTCATAACGGCCCCACAGACACAGTACACTGTAACACTTCAGAAAGCAATGCAATCTCTACAGTTTGCTTTTTGTCTGCACTGGATTCACAAAGCAGATAGCATCAGCATGCAGCTGTCCCCTATGCAATATATATATATATATGCAAGAATATCCTCTATTTGCTTTTGGAAAAAGCTTTTAAAAGGATTTTATTATATTTTACTTATTTTTTTTACCTTAATGGATGATAAATTGTTTGCTCGATCCTCCTGATCAGATTTGGTAAGAGTTTGATATATCCATTAACTCCATTGTTTGTAAAACAAATCAAGAATGCGATGCGTCACAGCTGCTATTGCTGCTGTGATTGACTAAAAGGTCGACATGGGAGGCAGGTGACCAATATGTAGTTCAAATAGTTTCAATCTAGCTAATCCTAGGTTAAGAAATCACAGTTAGAAGAGTTTCCAGATAAATAAACTGCAATGCAGACTGTTGGACAGGAGATTGTCAATAGAGTGAGTATAACAGTCAGTGTAACATAATTACATGTGTAAAAAAAAAAAAAAAAGAAAAACCCTGGACTTTGTTTTCAAAGTTTGAAGATGTTTGTTTAACTTTAATAGGATGACTATGACCTGGATGACTGAGAATCTTCAGTAGTATTATTACATGCAGTCTATACATAAACTATGCCAACTTAAATTAATGAGAATTAAATAGCAACACTTCAGTCTACACATCTTATTATTGGAAACTCTATTAAATGAAGAAAAAGGGACAGAATCCTTTTTTTAACAACATCCTGTTTTTTGTTCGTCCAGCTGTGCAGCAGGTCACTTTTATCTTTTCAGTCTGTCATTCAGCACCTAGTTTGTGTTATAAGCTAAGACTTTAAGCTGTGAACATCTGCCTCAGTACTCGTTAGCTAGAGCTGCATTTGATGTTCTCTCACTGGATCCAATTACAGAAAGCAATATGTTGCTGTTAATCTGATTAAGACTGTAAACACATTTTCTTCCATGTAAACAGCAGTTTCTCAGACCTCTTATGGAGAAATATTTTAATCTTAAATAAATTATTCCATCCTGTCATTTATTTATTTTTTGGCTTGAAGCTTAAATCCTTTTGTCTTTAAAGTTTTCAGGGCTGTTAATTATAAGAACCTGTGGGCTTATTAAAAAAGAGGGAGCACATATAAGCTTTTAGTAGTTGAAAAAGCATTAGAACTTTGAATATATGAGAACGTAAAGCTGGCGTGACTCATTTATCTTCTTTGTTAGATATATACAGGTTTATAACATAGACTTGGACTACTGTGTTCACCCCTTTGTAAAAACCTAGTCAAATTCTAATGCATTAATTAGCTCCTCTGATTTATCATTTTAACTTTATTCTTTAACACACTGCTTTAAAGGAATGCAATTTTGTTTGTTTTATTTCTAACTTTCCTCTCATATTATGTATCAATGTTTTTCAGAGCTTTGAATATCTCTACAGAGCCTACATTGCTATGAAAATGCAGATGATGTTTGTCTTGCTCACAGACATTTACTGAGTGCAAACAGCTGCTGCTGGAATTAAATATTAAATACATGACCTTTTAAATATAAGGCGGTTTCTCTAACTGGATCACAAAGCTGCCGTTTCACCTTTAAATTATGACTGAATGCTCTTTCTTACTCTTACTTTTGGTTTATAAAAGTTTATAAAAGTATGATTAGATAGATTTCTTAGTAAACAAAAGAAAGGATATGGTCACTGAGATTTAAAGCTAATAAAGGGGACACAAAGACACCTTTTTCTTCCAGTATCTAACTGTTAAATTTCTAAGAATAGACCAGGACCTGTGTGCTCTATTGTAAGACTAAAAGAGTTTGTTTTTTTTTAGTTTGCTGATATTGGTGATTAACTCTCTGCTCTAGGATTGAAGAATAAGAACATGGTTAGATAATTAAGAAAGTAATTTAAAATCCAGACAATACCAATTCTTCTTGATTACAAAGTGAGTCAATATCACAGTAGCATGTAAACATTGTTTAGAGTTTCAAAGGCATTTTTAAGGCTTTTGTATTTTTTCTTCACGTCATTTCATGATGAGAATATTTGCATTTTATTTTAACAACGAGGTAAATTTGTTAATTTCTTAAACCAGACCTCTGAAGACTGATATATATTTTTTTACTGCTTATTTCCTCTTGAAGAAACATATTTATTTTAGTCTACATATCCAAATCTCATGGGCGTGAAATTGATGACAATGAACATTTTTTATTGTACATTAAGCATCCTTTGCTAACATAGTACTTGTTGTTCCATAAGACTAAAAAATAAAACAAAACATATTACTTTTGGGACCTGTAACACTTTGAAAACAGCTTGACAGCTTTACATTGGGCGTGTCTTATTTTAGATTTCTCATCCTTATTGTTTTTGTAGTTGCAAGCTGTTTTTCTGTAATGGTGTCACCGGTAGAAAAGTGCATCATTTATTTTACATGCGGACCAAAGCTAAATTTAGATGCTTCTAGGTAGGAGGGGTGTTTGTTTTTGGTTATTTGACTAATCACCCTGGGATTGTAATATGAAGATGTGCAGCTTCGGTGTTTAGCCCTCTAAGTTTACATGAATGTCTTACTCTATCTGGGTTCTGCCTCGGATTTTGCTTCAGCTGGTTCAGCGATGTGACAATGCTGCACAGAATATGTGGTTTGAACATTCTAACCTAAATATTTCATGAGAGGCAGATGTAGAAGAACAGTCTCTCATTCTGTTAGTCCTCTTTACATCTATTTTTATTCAACTTTTACCTTTCTCCTTCCCTTTTTATCAGTCCTTTCAAGTCAAATTTCCTTTCTAAGATACGACTGATGAAGAACGGAGTTGTTTTTAATAGCAGTCGTCTTTGTCTCTGCAGCTTTGTAGACTCCAATGAAATATTTAGACTGCTTTTAACCCATCCCCACAGAGAGCAGTGGGCTGCCACTTTGCACCCTTGGGGGAGCATTCTGGGGGGGCTGGGGGTCTTGCTCTGGGATTCTGAATGGCAGTCTGCGGGATTTGAACCAGGGAACTTGTAGCCCTTCTAACCGCTAGGCCACCAGTCCCTATTATACTGAGAGAATCTCAGGATCATACTTAAAAAAAAAAAAATTAGATTAAGATTTTTTTTTCTTTTGAACAAACATTTAAAGAACTCTCCCTTTAAATTGCTTATATGTTGTTTTCTTGTCTTTTGTTAGTTTTTTTTTTTACCTTATTTTTAGTGTAATTTGTAATAAAGGGTATCAGGACTTTATACCACTCCCACCTTTATTTTTATTTTTTTTATTCGTTTATTTGATAGGGACAAGTATGTTTCATGAATCATGTCAAACACTACAACATTTTAGCTAAGGCTAATTCCCAGTTTCTATATGAATACTCTTCAAACTCCACATTAGTTTCTATATTTCTAATAAAGCAAAGCACTGTGGACCTCTTGTTGCATAAACATGTAATCGTATTTTTGAAATATGTGTCCTATTTAAACCAGTGTTAGAACTGTTGGAACTGCCTGCAGGAATAATTCATGAATGCTTCTATAGTAACAGCATACATTTTAGAAACATGTTCCTCTGCTTAACATAAGCATTGCTTTTAAGTTATACATTTTTTATGATCAGTTTTATTTGTTAAACAAAGCTTCACATTTCACAGGTTTTAATCCTCGTTTTTTAAGTCTTACTGACAATACATGGTGCAGACTCCTAGTTTCTGTGCTGCATTTTATTTTCATTTTAAAAGCACTTTTATGTAGCTTTACATAAAGCTCTCCAGCTATGAGGTTAAACTATCATGGTTTGTCTAATTTTGAACTTAACACACCTGAACCGAATATGTATTTAAAAAAAAGCAGCCTGATTATTATTAAGTTGAAAAATAACTGCATTGCTCTGTAGGGGACAGGTTCACGAACTGAACAGTGTTAGCTAAAGTGAATGCAGTGTTGCATTGGTGAGATCCACTAGATCCCTCTTGCTAAATTTTCTGCAGATTTAAATCACAAACTTTAATGTTGTTTAGTCTCTGGACTTTCCTTCTCATCTTTATGGGACTCTCTGTAGTGGACTAGGACGTCGGTCTAAATTTAGCTCTATTGATTGTAGGAAATAAATAGCTTGAGAGCGATGTGCTGCTGGTAAAAGCTAAGATGGGAAAACCTCATGGGGAAAGCTAAAGCAGGCACCGTTCCCGATCACAGACCTACAACAAAGCAAGAGACGCTGAACACATATCAATACACTTAACCTCTGAGCAACACACCCAGTTTTTTGGTGTGCAAGATATTACTCAATATATCTTAGTTAGTTCAGTCAAGACAGTCATTTTTTAAATATGTTCAAGAAAAACTTTAATTCCTGAAATACAGGCGATTTGTAAATTATTTTTTAAAAAACTTTGACATAATTCAGACCAGGTGGTCCTCTGTAAATAATGCTGGGTCCCATCTAAGGTGAACTTTTGAATCACAAGCTGTTTTATTATTCTCTGCTCAGTACAAAATAAACCCCAATTAGTTTGGCTGACCTTTAAAGTCATTCTAGTGATGAGTGGTTTATGCTGTGTGAGACAGATCCCATCCAGACACACAATTAGTAACACATTATAGAGGCTAACCTCATTAGGAAAGTTGGAGAAATCCAAACATTTTTCAAAGAAGACTCTGAGAAGTTGCTTCAAAATGATGCATTAAATGGAAACATTAATTTGGGATATTAATTAAAACCAATGTGACATCAGTTTTCGTAAAAGGAAAACAAAAGATTTGTGTAACAGCTCCTCAGCATTTCTGGTCTCCTTCCAGGGAAGAAGTCTGTTATGTTTTACACTGCTGGTTAGATATTTGCTCTGTAAGGATATTAAAGTAATTTATGAATGTTGACATACTTTATTTTCTCTGTGCAGGTCAGTACATGGTCGGTGGAGGAGCTGCGGATGAAACTCGCCTCCCTGGATCCTCAGATGGAGCAGGAGATAGAGGAGATCCGCCAGCGTTACCAGGCTAAGCGGCAGCCCATCCTAGATGCAATCGCAGCAAAAAAGCGACTTCAGCAGAACTTCTGAGAAGGCCCTGCAGACGTCTTTACACCTCCTCTGCGTCTTTAACAAATGTCTCATCCTGGTTGCTGGACAGGATTTAATGTAGCTGGATGTGACATCTGGAAACTCATGGAAGAAATTAAACATGGACGGCGCACCTTGATGTCAAAGACCTTCCCTGTTCTACAGAATGCTGGTTTGATTTGAGGGAATCTGCTTTGTTTAAGAGCTCATTCAGAAATGAGCAAAGA